AATGAAGCTTTCCTGTTAGGGCTGTTTTCTGTTTTAGTTGGAAATGCTTCATCATACTGAAATGAAAGTCTGCAGCAACTACATTTTTTGACATGGCAATGTCATCTAAATATCAAACTCATCAAACTAATCATTTGCCATATAGTTTTCTGTGTGTTTGCACCGACCTTGACTGATGCAGCAGCTCATGTAGGTCTCTATGGGACATCTGAGCATCTAAGCCTTTTTCCTCCTTCTGCTATCACGCCCTGTCAGAGGGGAAAACAATAAAAGTGAACACTTCAAAATAATGCTTACATTCCCATCGGTCCTATTTTCCACCCAGGTGAACATGGTCTCTTGGGAATTAAGCTTTGAATGAGTGCTCATAGATCTGGCTGACATCTGCTCTTTTTTAATGTGAGTTTAGGAGTTCTGAGGCAAGGAATTATGGGCACAGAGCTGTTTAAATGACCTTTGGGGACAAGGTAAAGGTCAGAGTTATAATAAAATAAAAATTCACCCCATTTATTTTAAAAAAGCAACATTTCTAAAGTCATCAATGTGCGTGTATTTTTTTTTTTTTTTTAGTGCGTTGATGTCATCATTTTTATTCAGCATAATCCAGGAGAAGCTAATTGACAGACTTTTATTTGGTGAAGCTAGACTGCTTGAATCATATTGTCAACAAAGACAGTTCACATTTGAAATGTTTGGTTCAGCTAAAAATTAACTCTGGTAAAACTGCTCAGTTTTAAATATCTGGCATTACATTCAGTATGTAATGTGATCAGCTGCTAAATTTATGCATGCTCTCCCAGAATGGCTCATGCTGTAGACATGCACACCCCTGATAAAGTAAGATTCATTTTAGTTTCAGACATGTAAATACTAGTAGTATATGTAAAATCTTTTACGTTCAAGCAACGCCTAAAAATGTTTTTGAAAAATACACGCTGATCTCTACTAAGAAAACAAGAATAATTCTACTCCTTAACCCTTCACCTTACCCCACGTGAAGGGGTAAGGGTGTCCCAATTGTCTTTAGCTAAAAACATAAAACTGCTGGAAGCATTTTTGTATAATAAATACTAGCAATGTACAAAACCTGTTAGATGCTAATAAAATGGTGAAACATGCCAGCAAAATTATAAACATATATCATTCTAATCAATTTGTGATGAATTAAGGTCAACGTTAATGTACTGCAGATCCTCTAAGATTTTTTTTATAACTATTAGCAGTAACCATGAACCCTCTAGTGTTGATAACACCATCATGGCACACACAATGGCATGTCACCCACGTTAAAGGGGCCAAGTGAATATACAGTGTGCCTCGATTCACGCTATAAATAAACCAGAGTCCCAAGGACAGCTGTGGCCAACTGCAGACAGACAAAGACAATAAATAACACAGGCCACCGAGAAGTTACTGGTCAACAAAACAGAGAGATGGGGTTTAGGTATTCCTAAATTGAAATTGTGTTTCATTAAATTCCACATCGACTGAATGAAAACATTGCTGGATTTCATAATTAGGTTGGGAAATTTATCCAAACACAAAGGCAGTGAGAATGATTAAATGGAATTGAGACCACTGGGATGAAGGTTAGAGTTTAATTAAAACAGCTTATAGATAATGCATATAAGCCGTATGATGGACACACACAAGTAATCTGCTAATTTAGTCACCATTTCGTTCTGTGGGGCATCTAATGCTGATATTATCAGATAATGTAAATGTGCAAAGGACACAAAGAATTTAGGCTGACGTCTACTATGATTTCATTACAGCTTGATTTTTTTTAGCTATAATCACCAATACTGAGATTTGCTGAGGTGTACACGTGAGCAGTCACAGGCTAATCCACACTGCTGAAGGTGTGCGTTGAGAGGTCTTGTTCAGCACTTGTTCCCCGAATGCTGTTGTTACGTTAATTACCAAAACCACTGAGCTGTCAAGTCATTAACTGTTTTTTATAAAAGAGTGATGTAAAGCAAAAAAAAAAAGATTTGCTGGATTGCAGAGGAACAGACATGCACATGCATTCTTTCTTTTTGCTCTCTTGATTGAATGTTTGCAAAAACTTTCTTCCATGACTACTGCTTTGCCTTTAATGTATTTGATTGTACTGCATTCATGTTAGCTAGACAAAATGCCATGTTTCCACAGTTGTTTTGCTTGTGATCAACATGCCAATATTGTGATAAACATGTTCAATACCACATTAAAAAAGTAACATTCAAAAAAGCATGTTAAAACATGCTAGCAATGTAAAAACATATCAACATGCTAGCACGATTATAAAATATCTGACAATTTTCATATTAACAGTCAACATTTTTAGATAACATATTTTGCTTTTGATTGGATTAACAAAACACATCTCAATGTCATTAGCACTGTGAAAACTTTAGAAGCATCCTTCTACATGCTAATAGGCTTTTAATGTATTTTTAGAAACAATTTATGAACATCTTAAAACCTGTTAATTATGTGTTGAAATGTGCTATTAATAAGTACTGTAAACTATATAAAATGTTTCCAGCCTTATAGTAAATATCAGCACTGTGAAAACATGATTATTATACCAAAAATGTTAGAAGCATGCTAGCAAAATGCTAAAACAAGCAGGCAACAAGATTAACATAATATAAATGATTTATCAGTTACAACCAGCTATCTGTGGTTAATGTTAGCAAATATGGCAAAACATGGCAAACTTGTTAGGATCATTTTAGTAGCATGGTAAAACACAATCAATGGGATAAACACATTAAAACATGCTAGGGATATGTAAAACATTTTATAATGATGCTAGTAATATGCTGAAATATGCTGACAGTTATGAGAATGACATGTTAGAAACTGTTTATTAATATGTTAAATCATGCTAACAAAGCGTTAAACTGTCAAAAGTCGATGTGTATAATGCTAAACTACAGCAAAGTTTGAATGTTAGCAAATGGATAAAACATGCTAATAACAAGATAATAAACATTCTAAAATTCCACCAATATGCTATAACCTGCTACGAATGTTAGCAAACATGCTAAAAGCATAAACATTCTGGGAGCCTTCTTGTATAGTAACTATCAGCAATGTGCAAAATATATTTGACGCAACAGCTAAAAAACTTATAAAAAAACAATAGCAAAATAATAAGCATGCTAATAATAAACATAAATGTATGAAAAAGGCTAGAACATGCAGTGAGTTAGTTACCAAACATGCCACAAATGTGACAAACATCATCTTAGGAAACATGTTAGGAATGTTTAAGAAGTTAATCCCTGATGTAGCAATGCATTTATTTGCTCATTAGTTCATTTATTCTGGGGTTCCTGTCTTCATCAAAGATATTTTTATTATTTTAATCAAATAAGCTTTTAAAAATAATTTATGTTTGAGGCCAAGCTTTGTCAGACATTATAGTAAAACTTTGTCTAGTTTGGGGTCCCATACTCATTTATCAAACATACTTAATGACATCACAAACATACTGAAAGGGCCAGTAGCACATTGATTTGAAAATCTTAATTCTTAAGTGTTTTCTGCAAATAACAAACATTTTCTTGAACAAGTTGAAATATTTATTTTGTAAACCTATTAGAGGACAAAGAACAATAAAGCAAGCCTTTTCAAATGCAGAACAAGGATCATGTCGGCTTTTTCTTTGCCAGCACCTTTTGCACATCAGTTGTGAGCACAGTACGGCTGTATGTCAATGTAATAGTGACAGGCTCAGAAATGAACTCTGAGTTTAGAGTAGCCATATTGATGAATAAGTGCACAATAAGTGCTGCTTGTCCATCTATAGGTGATCAATAGCTAGAAAGTGGCAGATGGGAGGCAGGAATATGACCTTGGAGAAGAGACTGTTACCACCGTCAGCTATACTGATATACAAGATAATTTTTTCTGAACTTGCTTCACTTGAAGTTTGACTCTGACTTAAAACTTCAGCATACATATATTGCTATTATACTATAGCAATATTCCTTTTTAGAGCTTACATTTTCAGACGCAAAACTTAATCATAGTCTTCATTGTAAAAAAAAAAAAAAAAAAATGTGTTTACTGCCTATAAATATTTATAAATGTTTAAATGTTCTATGGCGCGGCAGAACATTTAAATTTAACACAATCTAAATCAAGTCATTTTAGCCAGTTAAAGTCAAATTTATGCATATAAAATATATTATCTCAACGGCAAAATTGTGGCAATTGAAAATGGTGAGTGGCTAGTAATGTTGGAAATCTACTTGCCACAGTGGCTGATGATATAAAAAGTTAATGTCAAGCCCTGGTCCTAAGTCATGGCTGAGCACCGTGGAGAGCTACCAACTTGCGAATTCTAAAATGTATGGCGATATGCGTCGCCGAGCGGCACTTCTGGTGTGCGACTTGCTTTACGTTCTTGTTACAGCACCAGTGGCACCGAAATTAGGCACCGAAATACATATTACCAACCCTACTAGTGATGGTCCAATCTTATACAATTCACACAAAACATCATTCACATGTTTCCACTAGACATGATCAGATGCACTGTAAAATGCAACACTTAGATGTAAGCTTTTATATATAGGCTTTGGCATAATGGCTTTCAAACACACGATGGGGATACCAGAGCTGGGGTCAGAAAACAACTCACCCTGTCAGGCTCAGAACAAATGACTCATATATTCTATGTTTTACCTCTCGTCTCTGCCAGTATTGCTTGTCTCCTCTTTTCTGCTTCTTGTCACTATCAAAACTGCTCTCTTATGTTCTGATTGTGAGTTTTCAGAAAAAAAACTCAAGCCTCTTGTCTTGTTTTGAGAATGACAAACCAAATATTTTCTGTGTTCAAATTTAATATCGTTACACTCCTAGAGTGAGATTTTACTACAGTTGTGGTAACTACAAAACATTCTGATGTACCTTCAGATCAATCACCGGCCATTGTTGATGCTCTTTCAAATAGTCTTTTCTGGTTTGATAACCATTTCTCATCTGTCCTCCATCTCTCTTAGGAGTCTGGTACTCTCAGGCACTGGAGGTGAGCACAGGGAAGGTCCATTTCATAGAAGTGATGAATGGAAGTTCAGTGTTGTTACCTTGCACTTACGCCAGCTGCATCGGCATTAAAAACCTTTACTTCAGCTGGCAGTTCAAGGACAATGGGACACTAATTAAGGTGAGACATTCACACACACATACACCTCAAACACACTATTTAATTAAACACAATATTTCATACAGCTCATCCAAACTAAAGATGTGGATTATAGGCCTTGATATACATCAGGCCAACATGATGTTAATTTGGAGTTTGTTTATTACTTGTATTTTCAAAAAATAAAAAATAATAATAATAATAAATAAAAAACTCATATTTAGTAACTTATCTTAGCATCCACAGGGGTTGGACAATGAAACTTAAATGCCTGGTTTTACACCACAATAATTCATTTCTAATGGTGTAGGGCTTTCTTTTGCTGCCAGTACAGTGTCAATTCATCTTGGGAATGTCAGATACAAATCCTCCACAATTGGCAATAGGGATTTTTTGATGGCGATACTGGTGGAGGAAAATGTTTTCTGACTCAATGTGGCTCAATAATATTTAGATCTGGTGATTGTGCAGGCCGTGGGTGATATTCAACTTCCATTCCATGTTCATCAAACCATTCCGTCTCTAGTCTTGCTGTCTGTATTGGTGCATTATCATCCTGAAACATGGCAGTCTTCAGGATACAGAGTTTCAACCATTAGTTCTCCAGAATGGTTTAGTAGTCTTTGGCAGTGACTTGACCATCCAGAACAATTATTGGACCTAGGAATATTGCCACCCAAACAGTCACTGACCCACCCCTCTGCTTCACTCTGGGCATGGAATAATCTGGGTTGTTCGCTTCATTGGGGCTTCCTCACACCTCCCTGTAACTCTCCATGATGTGGGAAAGACAGTGAAGTTGGACTCATCCGAGAATACATGTTTTACATTGCACTTAACACTGCTGGTACCATTAAAACTGATGTACGGCATCGGCATGAGTGACCAAAGGTTTGGCTAAAGCAGCTGTCATGAGCAAGGAGACTGCTGTCCTCCTGTTGAAGGATGCAATCAAGCTGATTCCTCTAGCCAAGATGAAGAAGGGGTTTTACAGCCTGTACTTCATTCATTTTCTTGTCGGCTTAGTCCCTTTATTAATCCGGGGTCGCCACAGCGAAATGAACCGCCAACTTATCCAGCAAGTTTTTATACATCGGATGCCCTTCCAACTGCAACCCATCTTTGGGAAACATCCACACAAACATTCACACACACACACTCATACACTAAGGACAATTTAGCCTACCCATTTCACCTGTACCGCATGTCTTTGGACTGTGGGGTAAACCGTAGCACACGGAGGAAACCTACGCGAATGCAGGGAGAACATGCAAACTCCAGCCTGTACTTCATTGTACCCAAAAAGAGAAGAGGACTACCACCCATCCGAGATCTGTGCATTCTGAACAGTAATCTGCTCAAGATGCCATTCAGAATGCTTATGCAGAAATGCTTCTTTGGTCGCATTCTTTATCCACAAGATTGGTTTGCAGTCATAGACCTGGAAGATGCATATTTCCATGTCTCTATTCTCCCTTTTTACAGACCATTTATTTGATTGTGTTCTAGGGCTGGGCATGACAGTACAAAGTCCTCCCCTTTGGGCTGTCTCTGTCTCAGGCTTTTGGGTATTTACATTCTCAATTATCTTGATGACTGGCTTACTTTAGCTGAGTCTCGGGATCAATAGATTGTGCACAGGGACAAGGTGCTTTGGCACCTCAACCGGTTGGGTTTAGGTCAAACGAGAAAAGAGCAAGCTCTCAACTATGCACAGCATCTTTTATCTCGGCATAGAGCTGGACTCGATCTCCATGACAGCATGCCTCACAGAGGAACAGTTTTTATATATGGTGCTTGCATGGTGCGCAGCCGACACACTTTTTTGGCAGCTCACACTCCCAAGAGAATGAAGACTCCACCCCACTGTAGTCCAGCTGATTTGGGAGCACTACGGAGAAGCCCATGTCGACCTGTTTGCTTCTCCCAAGACCTCCTATTGTCAACGATTAAATTCCCTGACCAAGGCCCCCTAAGCATGAATGCACTGGTTCACAGGTGGCCCTGGATCCTGCGCAAATATGCGTTACCCCAGTGAGCCTGCTCACACAGACCCTATGCAAGGTTAGAGGACAAGGAGCAGGTCTTGCTTGTTGCATCTCTGCTGCCTAATCGAACCTGGTTTTCAGATCTCCTTGCAACAACCCCTACCTGGCAAATTCCCCTGAGGAAGGACCTCCTTTCTCAGGGACAGAGCACCATATGGCACCCATGTCCAGACCTCCGGAACATCCATGTGTGGTCCATAGTGGGAGCACAGAATGTGACCTGCTGCCTACGATGGTACCACCCAGTACATGGTGGCACATTGGGAAGGCATAATCAGATCATCCGATTTATCCGGTGTGAGATGGCTAAATCCATTTCACCCACTTCTCATGGCCTTTTGTGATCTCTCTGTAGTCCTCTGTGGAATGCAGGGAGATCCATTTGAACCACATGATTCAGTTGCTTTAGGAATTATGTTGATTAAGACAGCTCTGCTCTGCATGGCTTCTATAAAAAGGGTCGGGAACCTGGAGAATTTTTTTTTAACAAACTGGGCCTAGAATTCAGGCCAGGTTACTCTTATATTATCCTGAGCCACAGGCTGAGCTACTGTACCCAAGTGTACTGTACTGTACTGCACCCAAGATTCCTACCACTTCCTTTAAATGTAGTGAAAGGTAGTGTAGACCAGGTATTGAAACTGCAAGCACTGCATGCGAAATAGGCATACCCAGCCCTTTCCTTGCAGTGTCAGGTACACACTCAGCACCTTTATGTACCATCAGATCCTCTGAGCAGCTCTTTGTCTTTTACGGTGGTTGGCAAAAGGGAAGTGCCATATCTAAACAGATGTTGGCTCACTGGTTAGTGGATGCCATTGACCTTGCATACCCATGCCAAGATGAGCCATTTCCCCTGGGAAAGAGCACACTCAACTAGTAGTGTTGCCTCCTCTTATGCAACAGCATGCAGCACCTCTCTTGGTCAACCAGCATTTTGGAGATTGGTGCCTTCCACGCTCTATGATGCCATACATTCAGTCAACTATGGTTAAGTCCACCCTTTTAGGATGGACCCATGTCTTCCCTACCAGCTAGTAATCTTGCTTTTATGTAGTGTTACTCCTAGGTTAGGGCTAGCCCATATTGCTTTTTGTCACAGTGTCTCCACATTTGGGTTGATAGTGGCCTCCCACTGCCAATTTGGGTCTTAATGCTTTCCCAACGTACTGTAGTATACAAAAAAATCCTAGCATTCTACTAGATTCTAAGCATTTACAACTCACCTCTATAATTCTAGCATTCCCAGATTCTAGTGATATATAGGGGGAACATTGGAAGGTTTCGCCTTTGATGACATTGTGCGCTAACGATATTTGCTTGGCAAGCTCTTCACCATTCACTTTCGGCTACTGTGTTGCTTTCTATTCATAAACCCATAATGTTTTCAACAATGTTGGAGTTCCCGACTTGAAAGGGAAAGCCTCGTAACCCTTGTTCCCTGAAGGCTATTAGTGTTTTATTGTTTATTAGTTATAATGAACAATACAATAAAAACATTCTGAAAGTGTTTGCAATGATAGTTTCTCTACATGTTTATTGTTACAGCTGTCTAAACTCTGTTGTTAGTTTACATTCAAGATGTTTTGAATCATGTGTTATCTTTAAAGATATCGTCTGTGGTGTAAACAGGTGAGTTTATTTGTTTTATCAGTTTATTTGTTTATCGAATCCAAGTGTGCTCTACAGATGCTTTTACTGGAAAGTGTATGCAATTTTTTTGAAACCCTCAGTGATCCATAATACATTTGGATGCTCAAAATACTTTTCTTTTCTTTGAGACATGGTCAACAAACCCATGCTTTTTAAAATGATCGTTACTAACAGTCTTATGATCTATAGAATAATTATCAAAATAACTGAACACCAAATAATGGCAAATTTACACACACCCACACCCACACACACCCACACACACACACAAAGTGTGTTTTCTGGTCAAAGTAAAAAAATAGGTTATACACTTGTCCATTGTGAAAAACACTGGAAGCCATTAAATGACCTTTTACCTTTAACTAAAAGTGTTTTAACTCTAAACGAAGAACAACAACAAAGGTTAACTAAACTTTCTTTCTGCAAAACTCTGTAAAGACACTGTCTATGATCTTTCTCCTCAGCTGTGTGAAGCCGTCATCCCAGGAGAAGGAATAGAGCCTAATGTGAAAATCTACCATGAGCGGGTGGAGTTTGTAGGCACCAGCAAGAAAAGTAACATCTCCATCCTACTGCATAATGTCACGTTCGAGGACCAGGGAGAATATATCTGCTTCGCTCGCAACCCCAAAGAGAAGGACCGCAACCATAGTGCGGTTTTCACTCTTTATGTGGTAGATGAGTGTGAGTCTTCATTCTCCCTTTTTCAGTGTTTTAAACAACAGTGTTTTGCTCTTGTGTTTGGTGTTATACCATTGTCTGTCTTTGCAGTGAGAGTGGTGGACAACACACTGACCCTCATCATTGTGTCTGTGCTCGGTGGGGTCATCGGTCTCATCATCCTCATCATGGTGGTGAAAGCTGTAGTCATTGCTGTTCTAAACAGGGTCCAGGAGAAGAAGTAAGTCAGTTTTAGCAAAATGCTATAGTCATTTATGGCTTTATTTATTTAATTAAGATAAAATTACAAAAAAAATAACCTGCCCTTGGCACATAGCAGCAACTCAATGCATTTAGGCATGTAGACATGGCCAAGACAATCTGCTGCAGTTCAAACCGAGCACCAAAAGAAAGGTTATTTAAGTGACTTTAAACATGGCATGGTTGCTGGTGCCAGACCGCCTGTCTATTTCAGAAACTGCTGATCTAGGCTTTACAAAGAATCGTCTAAAAAGAGAAAATATCCAGTGAGCGGTGGTTCTGTGGGCGCAAATGCCTTATTGATGCCAGAGGTCAGAGGAGAATGCACAACCCCTGTTGGGCTGCAGCAGAAGACCACATCGGGTGCGACTCTAGTCAGCTAAGAAAGAAAACTGAGGCTAAAACTGCACATCCTCACCTAATTTGGACAATAGAAGATCGGAAAAACGTTGCCTGGGCTTATGAGTCCCGATGGATCCATCCTGCTTCATATCAAGAGTTCAGGCTGGTGGTGTAACAGGGAATATATTCTTGGCACACTTTGGGCCTATTAGTACCAACTGAGCATCTTGTAATTGCTACAGCCTAGAGCTATAATCAAGCCATAAAAGTTAGGCCCGGCAGAATTCGGCCCGAACCCAACAAGTACATTTTAATTGACAAAGCCCAAACCCGTTTAGAGCCCAACATTATTCAAATGTGCACATGCACACAGCTCTTTTGCTTTTTTTCATGAATGAGTCATTTATATCTGTTTTAACATAATTTATTCATAACAATTGTAGGCTACAGGCCACTTGGAAGTTGGAACAAAGAAGTGAAATAAGTCATCTTTAAAATCGTAACATCTCAGCACTCTAAACAGGCCTAGGGACATAAACTTAGCCTTTAAATTGGTCGACACACCAATAAATATAAATCTTTCTTAACAAATTACATTAAAATAAATCCTTTAATCACCAAGATTAGACTACATGTTTTTGTGGAGGAACATTATTGAATCCATTTTTTAATGGCTTTAGCGCAGTCCTGCGCACACTGATGGTGCATCCAGCAGCACTGAACACCCTTTCAGAGCTGCTACTACATGCCGGAATGCATAGTACTGGTCTGGCTAATTTAGCAAGTTTTGGGTAGGATTGTTTGTTCATCTTCCACCAGCCAAGAAAACCCATTTCATTTTCCATTATAGCGGTTTCAACGTAGTAAGTGACCTCATCATCATCCCTGTCAGCGTGCTGAACATTGCGGTTTAGCGGGTCCCCTCAGGTTCTGGCAAAGATCTTCAGCTGCACTACAGCCTACCTGAGTATTGTTGCTAACCATGTCCATCCCTGTGTGACCACAGTGTACCAATCTTCTAATGGATACTTCCAGCAGGATAACCATGCCATAAAGCGTGAATCATTATCAAGTGAGAATCAATCAGATCTCAATTAAATACAGCACCTTTGCGATGTGGTGGAACGGGAGACTTGCATCATAGATGTGCAGTCGACAAATCTGCAGCAACTGTGTGATGTTATCATTTCAATATGGACTAAAATCTCAGAGGAATATGTCAAGTACATTGTTGAATCTATGCCACAAAGGATTAAGGTAGAAGGGGGTCCAACTCTGTATTTGTAAGGTGTACCTAATAAAGTGAGTAAGTGTGTGTATGCATGTGACAGACAGACAGAAAGACAGACAGGGAAAGGACAGACAGACATACAGAGCCACAAAAGCCTCTGGTGGTAAGAGGCAGAGAATTATGCATACAATTTTCCAAGATATTTTTAGGAAATTTAGAAGTCCCAAACAAAGGACATATCCGGGGGAAAAGGTTGTGTAGTCACATTAAGTTAATAAACTGGGTTAGCCTCAATCAGGACAAGTTTATCTTTTCCGTATGTCTTTTCATATGGGGAGCACATGGAGGACAAAGTCAGTCAGACAGACTGACAGACAGATGGAAAACAGACTACCGACATTAGACAGACAGGTGACAGACAGACGCATGGATGGAAGACAGACTACGGGTAGAAAACAGACAACTGATAGATGACAAAAACAGACAACTGATAGATGACAAAAACAAACAGACAACAGATAGACAGTTGGATTACAGACAGACTACATAAAGAAAAGAAAAGGACAAAAGAAGGACAAATTGATGACATACAAAAGACATGAGAAACAGACAGACAAATTAAAAACAGAAAGATGACAAACAAAACTGGAGAAATACATATAGACATGCAGACAGATAGATCTGAATCCAAAAATATGCAGAGTCATCCTCAGTTCTGGTCAGCAGAGTCACCCTCAGTTGAGAGTGGCATGTGTGCTGCAAACTAACAGAAGCGACTCACTAGGGTGCATGTTTGGTGACTTTGACATTGTGCCTGTTAAAAACCCATGTGAGACCAGAGCAAATGTCAATAAATATCATTCTGTCATTTTGAGTAAATGTCAATAACAGGGCTTTTTGGCTAACAGGACTCGTTCCTCTGAGCACAACAATTCCATATATCCTTTGCCTTTTTCATCAAAACTTAAGTTATCCACTTGTTAAGTCGCGACGTATCAGTGACACATGGAACAGTGTTTCCAGGTCAAGCCGCTACTCATTTGAATTAAAAAAATATTAGTTTATGACCTTTTTTTTTTTTTTTTTTGTCAAATGACACATTTAAGTGTTTTTTTATAAAACCATGGTGTACAATTTATAAAAATTAATCACTTTCTGACAATTGGATTTTAGGCATTGATATTGCGATTAAGATTTTCGAAAGTACTAGAGCGCTTTGTAAGCGTATATTTTCACCATTTGTTGAGTCTTTTCCTTTGAAGCACAGCTCACACATTCACTTTCAAACCAATCTGCATGATTTTGTAGGTTCCTATTGAAAATGGCTGGATTTTAGTAGTTTTAGTTTAGTATCAGAGAAATGTACCCTTGTTTATGTCAGGAGGCAATGTTATTTAAAATGTCACATGGGGCAACCCCAAGGGAAAAAATTAGTAGGACGATATTTAGTTTTTCTGCAACAAACTTTGCAATAAATACAATTTCAAAAAATTAATTTAAAAGCTTTTTTGGGGGGGAAAGAATTCATAATTTTAGGTTTATTCGAATTATTCAACATAACATGGGCGACGCAGTGGCGCAGTAGGTAGTGATTTTGCCTCACAGCAAGAAGGTCGCTGGTTCGAGCCTCTGTGCTGAGAATGTATGTTCTTTCTGCGTTCGCGTGGGTTTACTCCAGGTGCTCCTGTCCAAAGACATGCGGTACAGGTGAATTGGGTAGGCTAAAATTGTCCGTAGTGTATGTGTGTGAATGAATGTGTGTGGATGTTTCCCAGAGATGGGTTGCGGCTGGAAGGGCATCTGCTGCATAAAAACATGCTGGATAAGTTGGCGGTTCATTCCGCTGTGACGACCCCAGATTAATAAAGGAACTAAGCCGAAAATAAAATAAATGAATGAATGAATGAACACATACTAATCAAATGACAAGCATAGATAAATACAAATTATCAAAGATGCAAATTATAAAAACAGTGCTTCTCTGATTTTCTTAGAGGTCGTACAGTGTTCAGACACAGAACTTGAATAATTAAATATATGTGTAAGTCTCTTCGTTGGTGTGCTCCCCCAAAATATCTCTGTGTTGTGTGTATGTATGATAGGATAAATGAGGAGGACACATTTGTCATTTTCGCTAGAGAAATGGCACTGCAACAACTTTCCCACAAGAAAAAACTCAAGTACATCACTATGGAATCAGATAAGTCTCAAAAGAAATTCACGCAAAAGACACGATGTACACATGCGTAGCCAAATTCACGTGCATAAAAGCAAATTCACGTGCGTAAAATATTCATTTATATTCACAGAAAAATTTCACGTGCTCAAAATAAAAATACATTTTCATAAAATACGTTTCACAAATGCAAAACACCATTTGCAAATGTATGAGAGTGTACAAAAAGTTTTGAATGTTTAAAACTTGCGAGTTCATCCTGAATGAGAATGTGCAAATCCTCTTTCACGTACGACTCCCCCTGGATACGTGTGTGTGTATTATTGAGACTTTCCTGCTCGACTTTCCTACTCGTACCTTTCAGCCAATCAGATGAGAGCTGTATTCAATAAAACCAACTCTGCGCTTCTTTTGCGCAGACTGTTCCTCTCCAGCATGGCGAACGGAGAAAGCAGCAGTCGCACTTTTTAAAAATTTATTTATTTATTTGACCATATCCTCACTCTTCTTATCCATTATTTTGCCACTGCTCCGCTCTTCTTATTTATTGTCTTGCAGCCCCATGAGCAGAATGTATCCTGCAGGGTAATAATAAGTATCATTCCGGCCACGTCAGCATTGCACTGCCATTGTGGTCCAGTGGTTAGCACGTTGGGTTACCATGCTCAGAACCGTTTACGATCCTCACCTGAGTTTATATCTTTTTTTTTTTTTTTTTTTTTATTGTTAGGACATATAAAACTGTAAGGTTGTTGAAAATTTGAAGTTCTAAAGCAGCTGTTTTCTTGAAAAAGATGTGATAGTGTCATTAGAAACTGAATGAAACTGAAAAAAATAAAATAAAGATCCTCACCCGAGTAAATATCATTTTTTTCAGCCAGAATGATACTTTGCGCAAGAGTGCGCAAGTGAGGCCTCAGTCATATCTGCACAATCTGCCACCGATGGCTGAACTCTTTTCTCCGTAACATTTTAGTTGTGACACAAAAATACACATTCTGATTTAGGGGGCCAGAGGGGGAGCCAAGCTTATTGACCACCACTGAGTAATAAATCAATTTATGATAAAGACATGTACATTTAAATATTCATGTCTAAAAACTTGATTGAGAATCACATTACATTTGTAGAGTCATTAAATTGAACGTTTTTTTGAAGGTTGTACATCTTTCAAAACCAAGCAATTTTTTTTAAACTTAGCACATGTTAGAATACTGTTCCTTGACTGTTTACTGTTCTTTGACTTTTAATTGTCATTGATTGTACTGTTTCCCCATCTTTCCTATAGTAAAGAGTGCCTTGTGAGCTCTTCAGGGAACGACAACACAGAAAATGGCCTCCCAGGATCCAAAGCAGACAGCAAACCAACACCAAAGGCATGAGAGGAGCATGTATGTGTACATATATGAGCATATGTATACATGCATTCACATTTATAACAGATTGAAGGAAAGTCATAAAAACGGACAGTTTTATTCTCTTTATCTCAAAAAGAAAACAAATGCTACATATAAATGTGTGAACATAAATATATGAACTATATTTTAGATTGTGCTTGAAAAATATAACATGCTGCTGGCTGGATCGCACTCCCTTCACTAAACTGGAAAAAATGGAAGAAAAATTATAATCTTAATGGTTCGGTGTGCTTGCATTCTGCTCTCTCTTGTCAGCAAGACACAGCACACACACACTGCCTTCTTCACAAACTGCCATATCCTTTCAATGCTAGACAGCACAAGTCCCACAAAACAAAAGGTTTGCGATAAACTTCTCCAGTGCAACTTTAACACATCTTCACACTGCATTCCAAATGACCCTTGGTGGAAGTCAGTAACAAAACAGACTTTACGAAAATAAAGAATTTACACATAAAACCATGGGTGCCTCTAAAAATTGGAAAATGTTTACCACTGATTCAAGCAGCTAACTGAGTCTATTAACCAGTCCCACTAATTTTACAAGTGATTTTAAGGTCATAAAGAGCAGGATGTAAGCACACCCGAAGGCCAGAAACACACTCTACGCAACAACACCCCCCTGTGGAAATGCTGAGAATGCAACAAAAAATAGAGGTTGCGTAGAGTATTTTTCATGCATATGGGTATTTTGTAAAGGATCTGAAAGAACTTTTTTTTTCACAGAGATGTAGATAAAGGGTGTATTTCCAGGATCCAGCTGAGCACGGTTTATTCTATTTATTTAATTTTCCTGCTTTAGATAAAACACAGGTGCCTGTAAACGCTTCAAGCTCCACATGGTTCCCGGGAGCCTTCAAATGCTATATAAATTAATTAATGCTCACATTAAAAAAGGCAAAAAAGACAAAAAAAAATATAAATATATATAACGACAATCCCCAGAAAACCAACTCCCTGTAGAAAATGAATGATTTTTTTTTCTGATGCTGCTTTCAACAAAAATAACCAATAACTTTCCAAATGCATGTGAACGATTTTATACAGTACATCTAGTGTACTATGTATCCATTTCTCTGAATCGTGTTCTCCTGTCTTTCCTCATGTGATCTAAACATGATTGCTCTTGACATACAATGTCACCCATGCTATGTACGCATCCGATATAGCGGCATGATGAGCCATCATAGTTCAGCTTATGCTATCATAAACACTCCACATTGCCACCATTACTGCTAACTGCTATTTGAAGGCCATTTCGGCTTTTGTACTAGCGAGCTAGCAACTTCTGTCTGCTAAACTACATCAGTCCTCACAGATTCTATGCTAAGACTATTGTTTTCATATCACAAGACTTTTGTCACACAATATAATGAATTATAATACCTAACACGCCTCATAGGCTCTATACAGTTAACACGTGAGTAGCATTAGCAAGAACCTTGCATAAATTGGATTAGCTCAATGCTAGTTTAAGAAAACACAAAAAATGTTAGACGTTCTGGAGACATATAGCAAATTCTGCTGATCAAAACTAGCCAACTTTTCAAATGTTTAACAGTTCTCTAAAGAAGTAGTTCACCCCAAAAATAAAAACTAGCCCAGAGTTTACTCACCCTCACGCCATCCTATATGACTTTTTTTTCTGTCAGACAAACACAGAGTGGTTTCAAATGTTGTCCTTGCTCTTCTGCCAGAAGTCAGTGATTGGAGTTTATAACTTAACATTTTAATAATTTTATTATAAACGTGTCAATCTGCTTCAAAAAAAAAACCCAGGTTACAAATGGGTTTGTTTTATAGAAGATTTTTGCACTTCAAAATAAAAGCCACTATCAAATGCCATTATAAAGCATGGAAAAGCCACTACTCTGACCATGTTCATATACACAGAGGATGGCTTGAGAGTGAGTAAATAATAGGGTAATTTTAATTTGGCTTAATTGTTGAACTATATCTTTAAGATTCAAGTGCCAAAACAGATCTGCTAGTGGAACAGTGGATGATTTACCGTGGCTTCCATCTTGTTTTTTTGTCCTCCTCTTTCCTTTTCTCTCCAAAACCCCATAAATGCACAGCACTTGTTTGTATTCAATACTGATTTAATTGTACTGACAAAATCATAACATGCGATGAATGTCACTTTGCGAATACGCTGCAAAAATGCAATGAAACCCTCACTAGTCTTCCGCCATAACCCAAAGATGAATGTACGCAGTGGTTGTAGTTATGGCAGAGATCAGAGGGGTTGTTTCTGGGCACTTTATTCATAAAAGATGTACGTAACAGTGTTTTGAATGCTCAATGTATATGTAGAGAATGATGTAGAGTTTAATTGCGGTATATTTGAATATGTTGTCGAATAGCTGCAGTACTGATATTAAGAACAGCTGAATCTTTGAATGGCTATATCTATACTATGTGCACATATAAGCAGTCTTCCAAATCACTTGACTATCTTTTAGAAATCAGGGGCTTTGGCAATCTCAACAACTTGGGATGCTTTCGACAGGGCGGTGTGAAATCCTAGCTGGTTTTCATTTAATTTAATTTGCTTTGCATCCATAAATTTGTATCAAAATCTGCTGTGATTTGGAGGGTTTGGTGCCGCTCTGTCTGTCAGATGCACTGTACAGTTTGTGGATAACGTTGAGTCTCCTAAATGTCGTTGAGTGTTCAAATGTCCACTTTGATTCATTTATGGCAGGATTTTTTTTTACATGTTATGCTTCTTACTGCTTGTTGCCTTTTGTCATTTACAAATAGTGTATTTGTGGATCACATTAACAAGGAGATTACGTAGATCAGCAATACTGTAAAAAAAAAAAAAGAAAGGAAAAAAAAAAACTAAAGAGTGCCTAGGCTCTCAGAAATGGACTGTTGTGCATGCAAATGGGCAACTTGAGCTTTTATTAGAGCTTATTTTTTTATTATTTAGCTATCATGATAATCTGCTTAATTTTTGCTACTTTGTATATGTGTTTTTTCATAACTGTTTTGCATATAATCAAATCAATTGCTTATCAACTTTTACAGTGTGGTGGTTCTCAACTGGTTTTGCTCTACATTATGGCTTAAAGCTTACAATACTTAAGAATTTAACAGAAGGAACTTCCATTGAATCAAAGTCTACAACAAAGACAAAATGAAATAGTATTTCCATGAACTGCTAATATTAGTGTTTTCTTTTTATCCCAACTTTGCATTATTACATGACTATATAGAAAATATGCTGTATACATCCTTTATTATTTTGGCAGCCAGATGAGAAACACTTGAACCAGCTCTTAGGCCCTGTTTTCACAGTATTAAGATGTGTAAGAGGTGTAAATGGAGTTAAATGCCTGTCCACTTTCGATTACTTTCAATTAATAGACTCTTTCAATCTGACTGCTTTTGAGGTAGGGTTTGTGTTATGGAAAAATTAAATGTTAAATTACGAGTTCTTGCACTAACTTAATAAAAAAAAAAAACTGAATATCATTTAAGTGATGTGGACATAATAATTAAAAATAAATGTCTAAAATCCTTTTTTTTAGTCCAACATTGTCAGCTATATGTTAGCTATTCTTTCACAATATACTGTAATAATAATAGACAAAAAATGGACCCTTTTCACAAGACTGTTATGGCGCATTTAATGGTCATCATAATCTTAAATCCTTGAAAGTTTTTAATAATTGGATTTTTTTAATGTATGAACATGCATTTATGAATGTTTTATATCATCTCTTTCTAAATTAGTCAAAAAACAAATTACCGCTTATCACGGTGTTTCTCATACATCATCTAGGGGCTGAGAGTAAATTTGATGTTATTCTCTTCTCTGGCTGTCATTATCAGTCTCACACTATTGTTTTTCTTTTTCTGAAAGTATTGATAACACCATCATTCTTTTATTATTTCAGCAAAAAATAAATATATAAATTGTTGTACTCTCCCATTCATTGTGCTCTAAGTTTACCCTACTATGATGACTTCCGCTACTGAGAAACCCAGAAATGTAAAAAGGGTATATAATACTATAAACAACAATATATATTTATATATAACACTTTTAATGTTTCTGCCACTACATAAAGTTAATTCTGACATTTAATCTTAAAATTCTTACTTTTTGTTCTCATAATTGTAGATACGGTATCACATTTGCTAATCATTTAGACAAAATTGAAAGACACATGTAATTGTGAGGGGCAAAATAGGAGAAATAAAAATTGGAAATTATAGTTTTTTACTCAAATTTTTTAAGAAATTGTGAGGTACAATGTATAATTCTGAGGTGAGAAAGAATTTGAAATGTTATTCCAATTCCAAGCCTACAGTGTGACAGTTCATCATTTGCAAAAAAAAAACAAAAACAAAAAAAACTGCAATATAAAAACTCAAAACCCTAACTTCTTTCCTCTCAGAATTGGTTTCATATTATGCAAGACTCAGAACAAACAAAAATATTTTTTTTGTACTTATTTATTTATTTTATTCACTAGCGAAAATAGTTCCATAGTAAATTGTAAAAGCCTGCAAACACCTGAACTTTGACCAACCCTCATCTGAAAAATTGTCAAAAGTGGACAACAGAGACTTAGGCGATTTAAACCATCTACAATTGTTAATGCTTATAGCTATTTGGTCTATTTTATTTTTGCCATAGAATTGCAGTCATACTTTTTGTCATCAAATGCTCAAAACCCACCTCGATAACGCCTTTTGTAAACAGGGCCCAAGATGTGCGCTCTTGTTCCGGTTGCTTATGTCTGCTGCAATATTTGTCTCAGCTCCGTCATATCTGGGCTCTGTTGGTAAAGTCTGAACAGAGCCGAGCCACCGCTGAAACCTTCCTGCAGAACTGCAGTGTTTCAGTGCAAACCGCAGTGAACCTGGGCTGCCAACTCTCACGCAATTGTCAGTATTCTCACGCCAAAAATTACCTCACGCATGCTCACCTCCCTTCTTCACTTTTCCCCCGCTTATGATCGACAAACCGCACAACCTACCACCTCCCTCCCCCCGGTTTTCACTTAGGCTACTTGACTCTTGCATTTTCAAGCACGCTGCTTGATCTTGGTAGAAAGGTAAAACATGAGATTCTGGATATGACACGTGCTTTAAATGCACACGTTTTGTTACAGAGATAATTTGTTGGATGTTCAAATCCACTTGCACTCTTTTCAAATTCTTGTACTTTTATTCGTTTAAGAGTTTGGCTCTGTCATTTTGTAAACGTAGACTTACAAAGTAATGGATTTATATATATTTAAAACAAACACAGGATTTCACTGCCCGTGTGACTCACTCTCACTGCCAAGCCAAGAGAGTGTGCGGACTGATAAACATGAGCTCCAACACATTCCAGACGCTCTGTCTCCCTCTAGCGGATTTAAACACTTGTGACAGTTTGAAAGGAATTGAGTATTCCACGCACACTGGATGAGTTTGAAATGGCATATTAGTAAACTTCTCTGGTTATACTATTAATGTTATTGTTTTTGTTATTATTTATAAGTCTATCCCACAGGAAATAAATATGTCATGTTGGGTGCATTGCAACGTGGATTTCTGTGCAGTGTTTTAACCTGGAGTAAAAAAAAAAAAAAAACTCTCTCTCAGAGAGTTCAGAACGCACCCCTCCCACCAGTGCCGATATACAGCCCTATCACACTGCTACGAGTGTGATATTGCGTTAATACAACAGTTCAACGACATAATCATGTATATAAAAAAGAAACCCAAACACAGAGTCTAAAAACCCATTTGTATGAGAAACTACTTTCTTCTAGCATTGATTTGCATCTTTTTTTTAAACAATGCTTGAACAGTAACAGAAAGGCCTAAATACTTTTTAGAATTACATAAAAAACTGAAATAATCTAATTGCATACATTCACAATCTTTCTATCCTCGTGAATAATAGAACATATATAAATAAATAAAATACCAAAAATTTACAAAAAAAAGATGCAAAAAAACTTTAGCAGGAAAGTTCTCAAAACATGAAACCAAAATCATCTAATTATAAATATAAATATCTTGGTTTTTGGATTTTTATCTCTCCTAATGTCTTCAAATATATTTAAAAAAATCTTCTTTACACCACTAGCCTTGGAGGAATTAAAAAATATATATATTTTATGAATACAGAATTTTAATAATAACATCAAATTAATCATTATATATCTTTTTAATCTTAAGTATTAGGCCTAACTTAATAATTTCCCATGAGAAGACAAGTCTTATAGATATTTTCTGTTGTATCCAGCATTGATTCACATCTACAGCTGATGTCAGAACAGCAGAAGCCGTTGCTACTTCACCGACGTCACTTTAGAGCTATAATTGTGAATGATTCTTTAGCGTAATATTTAAAGTGATAATAAAACAGGTGATTTTGCTCACATAAGATTATAAAGCCGAATGGCATGAAATCCCACTGAACTGAACTAAATTGAACTTTAACTCTGAAAACTGAACTGACTTGGTTTTAATTTACTATATTCTTTTATGTTAAGCTGCTTTGACACAATCTACATTGTAAAAGAGAAATTTTCCTGTTGTAATCAGGATATCACAATAATTAACCCCCGAAAAAGCTAAAGCAACACAAACACTACCAGATTACTGTTGTGTTTGAAATAAGGAAAAATGTTAAACACGTACAAGCATTTCTTATTTCTTTCTTTTTACTGAACTAGTCTGCAGTAACGAAAACAAGAGATTCATTAGAAACAAACAGATGGCCAACCAAAAAGTATCTCAGGGTTATATAAAGAGTGGCCAACACAAAGTATATATACGCAAAATATAAAATATACTTCTATATACCAATCTCTACACTACAATTACTATGGTATAAATACAGTACACAACATACAAAAGAGATAAACTTATAATGTCACTTACCAGTTTTATTATGATTTGTTCAGCTGTAGTTTAAAATTGTGCCAAGTTTTTTTTTCTCCTCTAAGAGCTTATTATGCGATCTCTGTCGCCATCGTGTGGATGGTGCTGTATCTCCGAAATACTTAAAATAGGCACTATGCTAACAAGTAAACTTCATAGTTTTTGCAAGATAACAAAAGCCTCAAGTGTGCATTGTTGTCCAACTGCAATATTTGTCAAAATGTCGTGAGTTTATTGATCTGCTGCCACTCTGCGGAGTAATACAGATGGTTTAGAAGGCTGTACTAGTTCTGATATTGCAGAATATTGCACAGCTATCAGCCAATCAGATTCAAAAACCAGACAGAACTGTTGTATAAATAATGTACTGGTTTAAATGTCATAAATTGTTAATTGAAATATTTAGTGAGAAATTTTGCATTTGGTAAATGATTTTTTAGTGTTTATTATTTGTCTTTTTTTTGTAGGCCTATGTAGAATTTTAGATAATCATATATATGTTTTCCTGTTTATAGCTAGTATAATTTTCATCATTCATTGTGATCTAATTTTATCTAATCAGCTTTTGCTTTCTTACTTTTATTATTATGATCATCAAAAATTATCTTTTATTTTTAAATTTCAGTTTAATTTTATATTAAGTTTTATAATATCTTGTTATCTTATTTTTTCCCCAAAACATTAGCTTTAATACTACTACTACAAATTAAAATTAATAACAGCTATAGATCAATTTAGAGATCAATTTCTAGTTCTCATTTTAGTACTTTTAGCAGTCCAACTTCTTATTTCAGTAATTTGCCACTATTGGGGCATCTATGAGTTTTTCCATCATATAGGCCTAATTAATAGTATACCAGAATGCCAACCCAAACCCACCCAATGTATACAGAAAAAAAAAAAAGGTTTTAAAAATTTATATTTCACGAAAGTGCACGAACATTCTTTGTGCACTAAATAGACTAGACAAATTTAGGAGATTTATATTTACACCAAAACAACAGCCTAAAAAAATACAACTTTCAAACACAAGCCCTGCTGTGCCACACCAGTGAACCCAGGAGAACATTTTCATCTTTAACCCCCTTTCTCTACGTTTATAATAAAAGTATGGCTAAATAATAGGCAAAAAGATCAGAATGAATAGAATAGTTTTGTGCTTATTGGCTCTGACTGAGCACTTTAAACGCTTTCAGACACACTTCATGTATACTCAGAAAAAAAAAGACATTAAAACATGTATGTACAGTCTCTAAGTTCCCTTTGTATCAACATCTGTCATATTCCTGTCTCATAACTATGCACCTCAGTAGATTTCTTTGGATTGTAAAGAATAAACTAATAAACTAATGAATATATCACTATGCGAAATAAAGATTTGCATATAAAAATATTGACGTCATGGTGTATTTTTTTGCTTGTGTTGTGGAGTTATTGATGAAATGGGTTAACAACATTTTACTTTATTAAAACAGACATGGCATACACAAGTATGTACATTATTTACAAAGCAACATATTTAACAATGTGTCAATTCAGTTAAAACTGATGTATGACACTAATCGAATGTCAACCAAGCCCCATTCATATCCAAAATCCAAAACCAACAGTCATAAGTTAACAAGTTACATGACGCGTTTGTGTAGCCTACAGTTTAAATAAGCTTTAAATATCAAAAGCCAAATGACGTAAAACTCTAAATGCCAAACTGGAAATGGAAAAGTGTGACATCCATGTCGCATTCATCCTGTAATGTTGGCCTGTGCACACAAGAGTTGGCTTCTGTAATAAGTCCATAACTTGTCATTTCATTTATAATATCACACAGAAGAATTCAAGATTACAACGACATGGCACTCAGATAAAAGTCGTTAGGACAGTAAAAGTACAAACGTTCTTAAAAAAAAAAACAATAATAAAAAAAAAACAAGTACCAGCACCCTCTTGTGGCTGTAGTTTCAACGTGCATTAGACGTCGCTCATTAAAAGTAACAGTACCTCAAAAACACATTATTTTCACCCTCCTGCTGAAAATACAGGAATGTCCAAGCTGCTCTTTGCTATACAATGAAAGGAAAATAAAATATTTCTACAAAAATAAAGCTTCATTATTGTCTGTGGTTCCATGAAATGCCTTTAAACTTGCGTGGAATCCCTCCATTCAACAAAAGGCTTTTTACAGTGAAAATAAATAAAGTTCTTCATAGGAAACTGAGAACTATTTAGTGAATGACTTTGGGGAAGCAAAAATGGCTTCATTTTTAAGAGCGTGCTTTCCATCAGCTTTCATTGGATGCAGAAGAGCAGAGCAAACATTCTTCAAAACATATCCTTTTAGGTATCATAGAAGACAAAAACTGTACTGTTACTTAGAACTGTTAGTACTGTTACTTTAAGATTGCATTGCTGTGTTCCCAAATAAAGTGGTAGTTCACATGTTTTTATTATGTACATATATGTGCAAAATCTTTTTTATGGCACCTTGAAGACCCTGAGCATGAGGACCAAAAACTCTTCCAGCGACTCCTTAACAAAATTCCTGAAGTATGTCTTAAATATTCTTTCCTCTCAGTTGTTCCCATCACAAACTCACTTATATGTCTGAAACAACAAACAACCATTCATTTAATTAAAGATTTCATAAAAAATAATTCAGAATATGACTTTGACATAGTATTTATTTTAGTGATTAGTGATAGAACTTTTAAAAATACTACTTTATAGTGTGGTTATTACTATGTTGTGTTCCGAGTGCTCGTACCTGCATTACTGAATGGGCCCAGTCAAGCATCTGGTCCACATTGGTGTAAACACCAGGAAAACCTGGTCTGGCACAACCTACACCCCAGCTGACTACTCCAACCAGCACCCAGCGGTCAGCCAAATGCACCAGTGGACCACCGCTATCACCCTATCAGAGGAACAAATACAAACGATTATTTCAATAACACCATCACACTATCTGTGAGAGTGCATAGGATGTTTTGTAAAGTTTTTGATGTGTCTGTTGAGATTAATCTATAAGATCCACACAATTTACAGCTGAATACCGCAAAATACAATCAATGGTAGATGAAATACAAATGATGTACTTAAGAAACATAGGACTCCTATAGATTAAGTAGGGCTAGGTATCAATATTATTAGGGTCAAGTTCAAAAGTACTGGTTTCTGGTGATTCACTCTGAATGCATTTATAAATCACTCTGAATCTTCCGTTTACAACTCAGTCAAGTCAATAGCTTTTACAATCATTCGCTGTCGCTGTGGGCACTCTGTGTGGATCATTTATTTAAGTCAGTAAGATTTGCTCTGATCAGATCATTTGAAAAATAGTTTATGGGGTGGGATCAAAATGTGTGATGCAAATCTGCTAGTGGAGTGATAATGCGTCGGTTTCTCATTATTATTCATAGCTTAGACTTCTTATCCTAGTGAAAAAACCCTGCTTCATAATTACTCATGAAAGCACATGCTTTGCAAAGGCAAGGCAGACCTTGCCAAGCTTTGGACCCAATGACTGGGTAAGACCGCGCCAGCACACGATAAGCCGTTCATGAAGGGTTGTATGTGTTTGATTCCATGATCCGCAGGGTTTAATGCAAAGCTTTCACTGCGATACTGTCAAGGCCGATACAGCAAAGCTGCTTGTGTGTAGCAAGTATTTTTGTCATGCAACCTGTACAAGAATTGGAGAATGGTGGACTTCGTTTTTTATCAGTTGAGTTTGTTACTATTCAGACACATCACCTATATCCATGCTGCTGTTCACCTATTTTTTTTAAATTCTCCAGATTACTTGCAGGGCAAATGGTTGGAATAGACAGGGAAAGAGACCTGCTACACTGCTATCCACTGTGCCTGCATTCAGACCCTGGGATTCTGGAGGAGAGATGTCCTCCTCTTTTATAGTGATTACATGATTTTCTTTATAATGATTTAACAAACTGTGGTTATGTATACATGAAATTACGAAAATCAAATGTAGCCGGGCATTAAATTACTGTTTATTTCTTTGCATTTAACTTCGTAAACTATACAAATCATGCATCTCCTCAAGGTTTGTGTGTCATTTTGTGAGCCACAGTTTTTCACTTCTCTGACAACAGTTGACAACAGTTTTTCACTTCTCTCTTTTTCCCCTGCTCTCCATGGCCACGCTCATTATAAAGCATTTTTTGAAAAAAGTCTGAGGTAGACTTGAACTGAAGGAGGGTGGATTCATGACCCTTTAGCTAACAGAACTAAAATTCGGAAAACACACAGTACCTGGCAAGCATCCACTCCTCCAGCCATAACACCAGCGCAGATCATCCTGGGAGTGATGGATGAGCCGTACACTGTTGGACTGGAGCACTGGGCACTGTCTATAACCTGAATCTGAGCCTTCTGCAACATTGAAGACAAGCTTCCTCCTGAAATAAAAAACCACACAGTTAATGCTATAGATGCAGAGAGACATATGATGGGAAGTGAATATGAATCAACCCAGAAAGGAAACTAAGGAGTCACCTTTTTCTGCCATATGACCCCAGCCGGTGACAACTAAACCGTCTCCTCCTTTCAGACCGAGGTTTTGAGGAGGTAAACACACTGGTCTACGTGATTCTGAAGGTGATGAAAATAATAAAATTAATAACATTTCACATGTAAAAAGAAAATTGTTTTAAGTCATTTATGTGCTTAATATAGAAGCATATTTGAACTTTGTATAATATTTAAATTCTTAAAAATTCTCTATATTAAATGTTTTATTACATTTATTACGTTTTAATAACTTATCTATAATAACTGATTTATTTTGTCTTTGCCATGATGATGGTAAATAATATTTGACCAGATATTTTTCAAGACACTTCTGTACAGCTTAAAGTGACATTTAAAGGTTTAACTAGGTTAATTAGGTAACTAGGCAGGTTGGGGTAATTAGGAAAGTTATTGTATAACAATGGCTTGTTCAGTAGACTATCGGGGAAAATAGCTTAAAGGGGCTAATTTCTCCTTGGTCTGTTAAACATCAATTGAGAAATATTAAAAAAAGAAAAAAAAAATCAATGGGGGGCTTATAATTCGGACTTCAACTGTATATATACACAGTATCGGTCAAACGTTTGTGGTCAGTAGGATTTTAAAATATTTTAAAATAAGCTTATCCTGCTCACCAAAGCTGCATTTGTTTTAATTCCAAAAAAAAAAAAAAAAAAAAAAAAAAAAAAAACAGTACAAATTGTATTATTTTATTGCACTTTATTGCACTTTTTATTGCACGTTGTCTCCAACTGTATACAATTTTACACTGAGCATATAATAAAGCATAAGCTTTACTTTATGTGTATGATATTTATTTGTAACTACAATTATACACACCCAATAAAACTGTAATATAACAATAATAATAATAATAATAATACTTTCATATTCAGTGTAATAATTATTGCACCTTAATTAAGATTCATCATTAATGTAATGTTCAATGTTATATATCACACATAATTTTTTAGTATACAGTATAATTAAGCAGCTAATTGATTACAAAATTAATAATAAAAATAACATTAATCCATAAACAAAATAAAAAAGCTATATGCTGTATATATTGTTTACTATAATTAAAGGTCCCAGGAAGTACTTTAAAATATGCATTTTTATTCGATGTTTGATGTAATCTCAACGGAAAGAAAGTATGGGACAGAGTAGCCCCTCCCCTTTTTAAAAAACAGCCAATAGTGTTTTATCACAGCTATGCCAAATTTGGTCCATTTAGGTCGAAGTGACAAGCTTCACATGTTTATATCAGTTTATCTTCTAAATGCAAATGTTGTCACTGTTTTGGAGTGCACTAGCTAATAGATCCCCTAAAAACAAACAATACTGATAGGAGCTAAAAAGGTTGTGTGTGTGTGTTTGTGTGTGTGTTGTACCTGACAAAGTGATTGGAGACTGAAGTTTGATCATAGTAATGTCAAAGTCACTTTCTGCTGGTTTGTAATTGCTGTTAACGATGATTTCTTTCACATATGAAGATGGAGTAGAACTCAGATACGTAATTCCTGAGACGACGGTCCACCGGCTCAGAGCTTTCCTGCCATCCCTAAACAACACACAACAATGTGACCTTCTTAATGCATTCCCTTTTTCAGAGCACACCCTGGATTAGTTCTATTTACAAAGCATCGTTAGGTAAACCATGAACCATTCACATTCATGCTTTTTATTTGTCTGCATGTTGAATGACATGCAGCACTGTTTGTAAACCAGGTGAACTTGACTGGTATTCATGAACCATTTTTTGGAAGTGAATGATAAAAAACATGCTTGTCTACATGACACATCTTTACTTACACTGTAAAAAATAGTAATAAAAGTTGATAACCTGGACTTTTGGCTTTAAAAACATATTTACATAATTGAACACACGCAACATAGTTTGGTGTCATAACTATGTATTTAGGTTGACTCTGCAAAATTAACATATTTAGATTTTGTCAGTAAAAATGCAGTTATCATTTTAGGTACTTTTGGATTACTTTTAATTTAAAAGCAATCCAAAAGTATTCTGAATAAATTACTTAAGATCTAATCTACAATTACTGCCCCAATATTTAAAAATATGACATTAAAAATTGCATTAATCGTGAATCTTTCTAAAGAAACACTGTCCAACAACAAAACCAGCATGTAAAGCTACAGCGGAAGTTTGCATCTCTCCCGTCTAAAAAAATCTTCACACAATAAATCCGACCTCAATTTTTCATGTGCGTTCAGGATTCACAAAGTCTGAATGAAAAATATTGGTGCTAAAGGGGAAGACTGATTAAAATAATGACAGTAAACAAATCATGTGCCAAAACGTCTGTGTTTTGTATGTCCTATAAAAGGTAAAAATATAAAGTAATTATTTAACGGGTTATGACCCTCTGAATTATATTATTTACAAGATTAACACACCAAAATAAAAAATAAAAAAATGCTAGTGTGCAGTGCATACTTCATTAGTAAACAAATCACGCATCTAGATGTAAACTCTTTGCTGCATCAAAATAAGACTGAAAATGGTATGAAAACATGATCTGTGGACATAAACCTGCATAGGCCTGTTGTGCAAATCGAGATGAATGAACTCTGGGTTCTGGTTAGGACCAGGTTAACCCCCAGGGGTCGAAGACCGCGTATACGAATTTTGAAGCCTCTTCTCCTCAAACAGCAGAAAAGAACTTAAACTACACTTATAGTTTTGATGGTACAGATAAAATCAATACATCAATCGAATCTGTTAAGTGTCTAGTTTTTATTGTGTGTGCTTTTGCAAAATAAGGAAAATAAACAGTGTAGGCAATCTGTCTTTTTGCTCTCTGTGAACTGTTTTTAGAAACACGTCAGTAAAATGCACTGAAACTCTATGATTACAAAACACACAGACATGAGACATATCTATAGAAAGCTTGAAGTGTCTACTTTAACATGCAGTGAGTGCATGTTGAAAACAAATAATGTTTGATAAAATAATAAGTATGAAACCAACGCTATGTCTAGTTTCTTAGTCTGAGCTCAGAGTTAATGTTACCGCTCACGAAGCTTTGATATTACAATCGCCTGCAAGAGACGCATGCATGCTGCTTAGGTATTATAGCCCAGCTTGTGCTGTTTACATTATCACACTTTAGCCATTCATATGTTTTTAAGATACTGACAACAACACAAATGTCAGTGCATGTCAAAACTTCTCTATGGCCTTCAGACCCCTGGGGGTTAAGTTCTTTCAAAACACTTGATATAAACATTCCCTGTAAACTCTGGGTCAGTTCGATTGATTTTTCACCAAAACGTCTGAAATGTAGCTTTCTATAGAGGTTGAGTGCAAACGAAGACATGAGAAGGTGTATTTAAAAACTGAACTTTCATTTTTGGGTGAACTAATCCTTAAACACTAGGGGCCAATCTTGGGTTTCAGGTAACATGTATAAGAGTAGGTAACGACTTTGTTGCCATGTTAATATGGAGCAGCCGAACTGAGCTACCTTCATGGTACCCTAAAACCCAGAATTTTTGCAAACTAAACTAACACACTTTATAAGCTAGAGAGCTAATATGGCTTCATGGTACAGGCCGCAGGTGTTAAATGGATGGTTCACCCAAAAATGGTAATTGATTATTTGTTCACCCTTTTTTCAAACCTTTAAGAGTTTTTTTTTTTAAGATGTTTTGAAAAATGTCAGAAACCTATAAAAATTGACTTCCATAATATTTGTTTTATATACTATAAAAAGTCAATAGTATTAGTTTTTTATGTTTCATCAAAATATCTTACTTTGTAATCGACAGAACAAGACAATCATAAAATTTCGAAACTAGTAAAGGGTGAGTAAACGATGACCACATTTTCATGTTCCTTTAAATGTTGGGTCAACTCACCCATTGAAACAGTGGGCCGCAGTGACCACCCAGTTTGGAGTCACCAGTGATCCTCCGCATGTATGCTGGCCGCTATACTGCAAGCTGACCTGCCAGGGCCAGTTCGCAATGTCAGCATCCTTTCCACCAACAATCCGGTCCTGGTTTCTGGACAAACCACAGTCTGCTGCAAAATAAGACAGAAAATGTCTTTTTTAGCTTATAGGTCACATTTTAACACGCATTATAGATCACATTTTAAAACAAACAGCAACTTCTCCACATTTAAAACATGTTTTAGCCTTTGTAATTGCACAGTTCAGATGATTAACGGTTAGTAAACACACCTTTGAGTTTTGAGCTTTATTCTTGGTAAACATTATACGTTTTTTTGGTTATTAACTAATGTCCTGGATTAGTATGTCATAGTTACCAGAGCATGATAATGAGATGACAGTTCCTGTACTGCATACCTTACTGAAAAAAAAAAAAAAATGACAATGTTTACAATCAAACTGAATAATGACCACATCTTTCAGTATAAGTGAGACTGGGATAATTTTATTATTGAATCAAATGTTGCTTTTATTGTTTCATATTTATCTACTGACCGATCTGACACAGCGGATTGGAAAGTCTGTGGTTTGGTTGTGCCCACCATGCAGAAAGATATCTTCAGATCAGACGGCAAAGGACCCACTGCGATGCTGCTGAAAACTGGAGAACTGAATACAAAAAACAAAGTAATGAGCTGAAGTCTTGCATTTAATAAAAGAAAGAATTTGAAAGAAAGAAATTATAAAAAATGTACATATACTACATTTCATATTGCATTGTCATATTAAATTTAGACAAAATTTATTCAATATTTTTGGGATCATTATTATTAATGTATAATAATAATAATAATAATAATAATAATAATAATAATAAATAAACAAGGACATGTGAATATGTATTATATTGAATATGCATTATATTTTTTTATTTTTATTAAAAATTTGGAAGAAATGTTATCAGACTAAAAACAATTATCAACAGATTAAAACAAATATCAACATTACAAACACAATCACAGTGATCTAAAACGTATTTGAAAACTTCAGTAAGGATGGATTTTCTGTTAAAACACTGCATTTGTGTGTGCTACTGTATGTCATAAAGTGCTGTGTTTTTTATTTGCCAATGATCTGTATGTTGATACTCACACTGAATATCCCAGCAGCTGACAGGCGGTCTCAGCATGTTGCTGGGTGAAACTCTCTGAACACACACTTTTCCATGTGTTATCACTAGGACTCAACACCTGAAGCACATTATTGGCAGAGTACAGCCGTACTGTGGGGAGGGAGGGAGGGAGAGAGAGAGAGAGAGAGAGAGAGAGAGATTAAATTTAAAATTTAAAAATTTAAAATTAAATTTAAAATTTAAATTTAAAATTAAATTTACAAAATCAACCATTTAAACAATATATTGTTTACATATTAAAAATACCTAAAATGAAATGAACAATCTTTTGTCAAAAAGGTAGTTTTTTTGTGTTATTATTTTATTTTATTGTATTCATTTTTTGTTCATTTTATTTTATTTATTTTATTACATTTTATTTGGCACAAGTTCCATTTATTTTCATGGACAGGGTAGAGATTATGATCTGTACTGAAGTCAGCCACCAGTACAGCATTTTTGAATGCTCATGTTGACAACTGAGGCGAAGCTTCCAAATAACTTTAATATCAGTTTCAATACTGTTAAATAAGTATATATATATATATATATATATATATATATATATATATATATATATATATATATATATATATATATATATATATATTAGCGCTGTCAAAATTAACGCGTTAACGCATGCGATTAAATTAACGTAATTAACGAAAGTTTTTTTTTGTAATAATAATAATATATATATATATATATATATATATATATATATATATATATATATATATATATATATATATATATATATATATATATATATATATAAAAAACTTAACTTGGACGTTATCTTACAGTAAATGCTGCAAACAATTCTTTTCAGTGACAGTTCATACGTCGTGCTTGTTTTTGTCATCCTTTTTTGTCCAATTAGTACATTTTGTGACACGTGCATGGGTAAAATCTTAAAAGAGGGTGAGGCTGATGGATTGGTCTCGTTTATCCTTAAACCGGACACACAGGCAGGGCCGTGCAGAGACCATCCAAAGGGCATGTGCAGGAGAAATTTTTTGAAGAGCGGGGGGGGGGTTGTTGTTGCGCGCGTTCTGAAGAGCGGGGGGGGGGTTGGTTGTTGTTGCGCGCGTTCTGAAGAGCGGTGTTGTCGCGCGCCTACTGAAGGGCGGGACCGAGGGTGTGCCGCGTCGCGGGGGCACTTTTGATCATTTTGGAAGGGCACTTTCTATCCAAGACTAAAAAGGGCATGTGCACTGCACAGGTTGAGCCCTATGTGTGCACGTGCCTGCACACAGGTTATGTCTTTGAGAGGGTATGTGGGCGTGTGTGTGTCTGCGTGCGTGTCTGTCTGTCTGTGTGTGTGAGTGCGTGTTTGTGCTTACAGGGGAAGGTGGTGTTGGGTTTAAACATGGTGACACAGGCAGACTCATCTTCGGCTTCACTACAGTCATTTTTCCCATCGCACACCTTCTCCAGCGGGATGAACTTCCATGATTTTGTGCAGAAGAAATACTTGCTGTCGATCAACTGCTTGACTGCAAATGACAACAGAAATGATGTTAATCATTATTTGCATTTCTTGTGTCAAGAGTTCAAAAGAGTGACTAAATAATAATAATAATAATAATAATCATAATAATAATAAGTGAATAAATAATTACATTTTTCAGATTACATTTAATACAAATACAGTTTAACGTACATGTTACAAACTTACATACTTCATATGATGCGTTTATTACAGTTTACTTGTTTTCAATGTTCCAAGTTTATAGGTGCATTCCAAATTGCATACTTGGGCACATTTGTAGTATCAATACTAGAAGTAGTACACTTAAAATACTGAAATAAAAGTTAACTTTAAACACCCAGATATTGCACTTGTTTAACTGTAAAAATAAATAAATAAATAAATAAATAAATAAAAAGATAAATAAATAAATAAATAAATAAATAAATACATGAATAGATAAATAAATAAATAAATAAATAAATAAATAAATAAATAAATAGTGGATTGTTGAACACTTCTTGAAAACAACGCTCAAGTTTTTTCTCACAGACTTATTGGCGTGATTTTGAATTCACAATGGCATGAACATTAAATTTATATTATGTACTATTCTAATTATTATATTATTATTGTAGATACAGATCAGAGCAAACTATTTCTCACTATTTAGAGAACTGACCCCCAATATTTGCTGTTTTGACATTCTTCAGGGAGATCAAGCAATCGCCCCCAAACCCCTCTGGCACCCTGGTTATAATCATACAATCATCCGGTTGTGATTAAATTTCCACAATTTTATATGATGCAGTCATTATCATTTTCTTGTATTTAATAATAAACACCAGGATGTTTATCATGTGTGGTTATTGCCAACATTTTTTTCCATAATTATGTCAAACTTCAGCAGGTCGACATATCTGAATAATTGTGTCAATCTCATTGGTCTGAATGTTTTAACATGCGTCAAACCAAAACAAAATAGCCAGAGCCTTTTTTTAAATCATGTTTTTATGTATTATTTTGCTTTTGGTTTGGTCACACGGTTAAACTCCCAGTGTGGATGAGACTTATTATAGTATAAAGAATATAATATTTCATATGATGAATTCTTTAATTGCAGTTGTGTTTGATGTACTACTTGACTGGATCAAAATGAATTAAAACAGCATTTAAAATTACAACAAAAAGCAAATTTAATTATTTTAATTATTCAGTTAGTTTGTTGAGTCACAAAGGTCAAGGGAGTGCCTGAATAACTGTCGTTGAGAAAAAATAATTTGACTTGTGAATTTGTGACTCATTGTTTGTGTAAAAAAATTAACGTGTGAAAGGTTAAGCAGGAAACAACATATCAGTTTCTCTCGTCTCGATAAAAACAAATGTCACATTTGGGGTTTGTGGTATTTCGACTAAAAAAAGGTTTCTGTTTGCAATATTTAACATTTCACATGTTAAAAATGTATACAATTATGTATTTCACATTTAAGTTTACATATGCATTGTAAATCTAACTCCATGCAGTGTAATAATTGAAGTTTCACTTTAATTTCCATTTTCTATGCTTGAAAGGTTTCACATTACACGCATGCACGCACACACAGTTAAAGTCAGAATTATTAGCCCCTATTTGTTTTTTCCCCAATTTCTGTTTAACAGAGAACAGATTTTCTTTCCCAACACATTTCTAACATTTGTTTTAATATCTCATTTCTAATAACGGATTTATTTTATCTTTGCCATGATGACAGTAAATAATATTAACTAGATATGTCAAGACATTTCTGTACAGCTTAAAGTGACATTTAACGGTTTAACTAGGTTAATTAGGTTAACTAGGAAGGTTGGGGTAATTAGGAAAGTGATTGTATATTGATGGTTTATTCTGTAGACTATCAAAAAAAATTACTTAAAGGGGCTAATAATTAACCACAAAATGACTTTTTAAAAATTTAAAAACTTCTTTTATTTTAACCGAAATAAAACAAAGAAGAATTTCTCCAGAAGAAAAAAATATTATCTGACATATTGTGAAAATTTCCTTGCTCTGTTAAACATAATTTGTGAAATATTGAAAAAAGAAAAAATAATTCAAATGGGGGCTAATAATTCTGACTTCAACTGTATATATTATATGTATTAATTTGAATCCTTTTAAGTATAGAAAATGGAAATTAAAGTGAAACTTCAATTATTACACTGCATGGAGTTAGATTTACAGTGCATAAACAGTGCTTAAAGGTGCAGTAGGTGATCTTCCACAATGCTAACAGCTTAGCATAAATCTCTAAATCACAGTCCCTCCCCTGCCGTCTAGAGCCACGCCTCCTTAAACACGAGCACAGCAAAAGAACCCTCTCTAATGTGTTAAAAGCAACAAGTGCTTCTCCGGCGGCGTGCAAGCCAAACTGACATGCGATTTCAGAGTGAATATTAGAGTTGCATGGTATACAATATAAGGAGAGACTAGGCACCAGAATATCACTATTTACTTGTGCTTTGTTGTTAAACTAATTAAAATCTACATTATCAATGCTGTAAAAGGTCCTTTAGGAAACTGAAAATAGTCTTATCAATCTTTCATCGGAAGATTTTAGTGGCTGAACAACACTTCTGTGAAGATTTAACCCATTTGTAACAACAACATCTAACGTTACATCAGCTTTGCGTGAAGCTAAAACCTTCAACCTTTGTGTGAAGAAATCCTTCAGCCATTGTGTCATCCTTTCTCCAGTGTGCAAAGGTAACTCCAATATTGATTCAGGTTTTTAAAAAGTTTTGATTCAGCAGGTTTTTACAGATCATGCGCGTACTCTCTCTCGTGAACATGCGGCAGTTGGCGGAGCTGCGTACGAAAGGCTCCGCCAACTTGTTTAAATCTGCATGTGCTGACAGATAGTTTCGCCTACTTATCGAAATTATAAGAGATGTCGGTCCAACTCTATTTAACTGGATGAACTTTTTTGTTTTTGTTTTATGCCTTACCCAAAACTATATATAAATACTTTTTGATCATTTACTTTACTCATTACTATTAGACTGTGAAAAGGCTTTCAACCTGCACAACAAAAAATGCTTCTGAATACAATCACCTACTGCACCTTTAATCTTTTAAGTAATATGTATAGATACACACATTATTACAAGGCTCTCTGGAATACTTGATTATGACTGGTCAGTTAATCACTCCAATACAATCTCACAGGAATTTATAACTTTTTGATTTAGTTAATAATTTGTGTGAATTCGTACAATCTCATTTATACAATTTACTACAATTTGCTCATCCCCCAATGACAGTTGGACTTAGGAGCAGGGTTTTGTGCCATGTCTGCTTTTTAAAATCTTACATTTTTGTCTGACTGAACTTGTATGAGTTCGTATAAATTAGACACTAAACTGACAAAACGTAAAATAGTTTCACGTTTCCTCGTGAGATCAGGTCGGACATTCCAAATCATGTTAATCACAGATAACCACTGCTAAAACTAACAACACAGGCATATACGAGTAATATTAATTATCTTAATGCTTAATTGTCATGCTAATGTTTCTCGCTGTTTGGTGCCATCTTGTGACTGAATAAATGATAAATAGGTTGGTGTGAGCTGCATTCAGTCAATTGTTCTTTCTACAATCTTTACATTTAATGAAAACGCTAGTTATATATGGCTCAAATCAATGATTTGTGTCTAATTGTTTACTTTGATCGCTAATAGCCATGCAATAAGCATTATAATGAACATCAATATGGTTGTTTCCGCAGAATATAGCACTGATAAGGCAGATGAAACTTCCTAGAGTAAACTGTACATCCTATAGCTCAAAAATAGACTTCAACATATGTTTTTCAAAAGTTCAAACAGATTTGCGTAAATAGCATGACAATTATCTTTTTAATATAAACAGTACATGACAATAATACAATGTTAATTGAAACTGTGAATGTGATCTGTAACTCACTGAGGAAAGCGGCCACAGCCAAAATTGCCAGAACGACCACCACCATCAGGACTGTAATGATGATCTTCTTCTTGTTCGGCCCTTTAGGCTTCTGAGTCTTTGGGGCAGTCATGAGTTTTGTGCGTTTTGCAGGCTCTGAAAATTTACATGACATCAATGCCACATGCTATTTTTTTTCCTTGTACAACAAAGGACTTGAATCATAGTTATGAGTAATTTAGGCTAGTAGATTGTTCTCAAATACTGAAATTAGAAATGTCAAAAGTCTAAATATTTTTTAACTTGGAATGTTACAAGACAAAATTTAGTATAATCAACCAATTTATTTATCTATCGACCACTAGTAATAATCCTTAACACTGAGCCATGCTTTACAAATGAAGATGCATTAATAATGTAACTTGAAACAACTCTGCAAGGTGTGGTATTCAAACTGTGAAATAGTTTGTGAAAACCTGTGAAAGAACAGGTGTTTTTTTTTTTAAGGTGGCATACAGAGGTTAGAAATTCCAGTATCAGGACAACACTACAATGGAGGTTATACTCAGAAATCAGGTGATACTGTACCTGGCTTTGGTGGGTTTAAGGGTGTCGTGTTTTCCTCAGGAACCTGGGTTTTAGTCTGAAAACAACAATGAGAAAACAAAAAATATAAATGATTTTTTACACACTGAAGATTTATTACTCTGTCTTCTCTATTTTTAATCAAAAGAAATAAAAAAAGATGTACAAGTGAGGCAAAGAAACTAAACTAGCTAAATGGGCACATTAAACTGTTAGAAAATTAACTGTAATAAAATTATAAAAAAATATTGAAAAATGATGTGAAAATGGGGTTTACTTTTAACAAACAAGTAATTAATTATTTTTATAATATTATTTATAGTTATAACAACAACAACAACAACAATCATAATCATCATAAAGTAAATCAATTATTGAATGAATTAAATAGTAGGTGATAAAAACAAAGTAGACATACAGAGAGACGGTTATTATATGGAACGTATACTTATATTATTATCTTTATTTTGAGATATTCAAATTAATATAAATGTTGTTATTATTATTATTATTATTATTATTATTATTATTATTATTTTTATTATGTATGTAATTTTGTTAATTATATAATTTTGCCTTGATTTTGGTTAGTATTATTTTCACTTTCACTTTTAACTTTTTTTTTTAATCACCGATAAGGAAAATTATTTTAGTCCCAGACAGTGTTGTTCTAATGATAGAAACCAGTGCGTTAATGACAGAAGGGTAATATTTCCTCTGTGCGTTTATGCAAATCTTATTTTGACTGCAAATCTTATTGTTAATGCAAATCTTTTTTTTTTTTTTTTTAAATCAAACTCCTGACATCACAAATACGGGTAAAGATCTAAACAAAATACACCCACTGGACCGCAATTTGCATTTTAAGAGAATTTTTGCTTCATGTAAAATAAAAAAAATAAATTAAATAAAACATATATAAAGTTGAAGCTAGAATTGTTAGCCCCCCTGTTTATTTTTACCCAATTTATTTAATGAAGATAAGATTTTTCCAACAAATTTCTTAACACAATAGTTTTAATAAATCATCTCTAATAACTCATCTTTGCCATGAGGACAGTACATATTATTTGACTAGACATTTTTCATGACATTACATCTTAAGTGACTTTTAAAGGATTAATTAGGTTAATTAAGTTAACTAGGCAGGTTAGGGTAATTGGGCAAATTAGTGTATAATAATGGTTTGTTCTGTAGACTATGGAAAAAAATATGGCTTAAAGGGGCTAATAATATTGACCTTAAAATGGGTTTTACAAAATAAAAACTGCTTTTTCTCCAGGCAAAATAAAACAAATGAGAAAAAATATATTATCAGACATACTGTGAAAAATGTCTTTGCTCTGTTAAACACAATTTGGGAAATATTTAAAAAAGAAAAAAAAAAGAAAAATCAAAGGAGGCTAATAATCTTGACTTCAACTGTATGTACCTAAATATCAATGTAATCTAAGGAGTTCACTATACAAATCACTGTAAAACACACTGATATAACATCTTTCTCTTAAAGAAACTACAAGATTTGTCACATGTGAAGAATGTGAAGCGAAACTGAATGCAGTCACTGTTTTGACTAGTTCACCGTACGCCTAAAATAGCATCAGGGTGATTCCGTCATTCAAAACAACACCGATCACACCGTTCCCAAACATATCCTGTTTCAACAAGAACACTCCAACCCCAACTTTCCCTCATCTACAATCAACACTTCATTAATCATATTTATATGTACAAAAAAAAAAAAGTACAATGACATGATTCATTATTAACTAAACATTTATCCATCCATCCAATTGTCCATACTGACTGAGAAAAGCATGTGCTGTACACTTATTCTCATTTTCAGTTGACTAAGTTCTTGAGCAACAGTAGTCAAACAACAAATGAGTCAGTGTTTTTTTCCATCACTGTAGAAAAGTACAAACTTTCAAAATTCAAATTTTAAGAGAACAAACTGCGCACACCGCAACTATAAAAAGGCATGATCAGAGCAGATATTACGAGTCACCATGGCAACATTTGAAAAAAAGACATCAGGATTTTTTTCTCCAGCTAAACTTGATGTGCTCATGCAAAGTTATTGCAAACATGACCAAATATTTAAAAAAGCAACACAACTGCATCAGTGAAACAGTTAGGCAACAGACTTGACTTACCAGGTTTTCTCAAGTTCGACAAACCTGCCATTTTAAACCGAAAACACCCAGAATTTTTCTCATTTCAACATTAACATACATGAGTTTTCACTTAACCACCTTTCTGAAACGGGTCCCAGGGGGCCAAAATTCAATGTGCCAGCATCTAAGGACAACGTTATTTTGCCGTTTAATAATGACATTGATATTGGGTTGATTTTAGGTTGTGTTGGAAAGTGACTAGAATCCAATGTAGAGCCAACATCTTGCTAATGTCAAATACAGACATTTATATGTCAAGTATGACAACCAAAATCCAACATCTGATAGATGCCATAGTGATAATGTACACACAAAATCAAGCTGTAACATCATTAGACGTTGATGTTTGGTTGATTTTAGGTTGGACATTGATGTCAGCCTGACATTGGGTTCTGATGACAACCCGATTTTCAATTCCAAACAGGATGCAACCTCCCAACAACGTTGAGGTACAACGTCAATTGTTGATGTTCTGTGCTTGCAAGGGAATGAAAGTCCAGGAAACGATTCAATGATTTTGCAAACTGACTGAAATGGGGTTCAGCATGTGAATGTGGTTTACATGTTTTCACTTGAATTATCAGTGAGATTTTTAGTGAAAAAAAAAAACAAATAAAATAAAATCTGCTACTTTTGCACTTTAACTCAAGTCTTATCAAAAAGAGGATTTATAGCTCCCTATACTAAAGCAATATTTGATTAGTGTATCTGTATTTTTTCAATAAATTAATAAATCATTCAATTATCCAAGAAGCATTTACAAAGAGCAAGGAAAACAACTTCACAGTACATTTACACAACACAGCTTTTAACAAAAGGAAACCTTTTTGGCCATCCATTTAGGACAATGCATTTAGGGCTTAAAACACACACACACACACACCACTGTTATTGCCTTTGTGCAAACCACAGAAAAGCAGATCATTATCAAAGATTTGTGTGAACGTGAATTTTCAAGAACTTCGGGATGCAAATTTTTCTAAATACAAAGGAAAACCATTTCTGTTTTAGTATGTCAATATCACATCAAAAAATACCTTTGATTTAAACTGAAAACAAGATCATTTTACTTCACTGGAAAGATGAGAATCAACATGAAACAAAGGTCACTTTTAGCAGGAATTTGGAAATAAACTGGATTTTGGCAGCAACCCAGTGATTCAAATTCCAACACCTTTTAGTACTCGCTAATTAATTCCTAAACTATGTCATTAGGTGTCAAACTGTTTAGCTACAGGTCATTTAATGCAACTATCATGACAAACCAAGGTCAAGAATGTTGTGTGGCAGGCTGTGAATTTTTTTTTTGTGAATTTGCATGTGGTACAGTTTTTGTTGTTGTTGATGCATTTGTACATTTGACTGGCATAATGAACATTGCACTGACAAAAAAACAACTGGATTTCGGGGTGTGTTGTACTTTTAATTCATGAACCACAATGGGATAACACACCTTAAGCATATATATGTCTTTTTAAATCAAAAGAGATCTTTATCAACAAAGAAATTTTAAACAATATTCTCAGGACACTCCTTTGATTCATAACAAATGCTTTTAAACCGCAATTTAACAGAGAAAAACATGAAACATGGAAAAAGTTATACAAGGAACACACACACACACACACACACACACGCACACGCACACATACATACACACATACATACATACATACATACAGTACATACATACAGTACATACAGTACATACATACATACATACATACATACATACATACATACATACATACATACATACATACATACATACATATTATTATTTTATTTATTTATTTTTTAACTGCTTGAGTTTAGTTATGGCAAAGGATTAATGGGTGTATGATATGGCTATGCAGAATAAGACATTTATGAGTGATTCACAAACAGGTTATACATTTTCTATACAAAACAAATGAGATGCAAAAAAAAAAAAAAAAAAAGTTATTAACAATACCAAAATTTGGCCACATCTCATGTATCTAATGTTGAGAGAGATGGATGGATGGATGGATGGATGGATGGATGGATGGATGGATGGATGGATGGTATAATATAGCATGTGAATAATGTTTTTGTGGTGACAATATATGGATGATATGACAAAATATGTATGGACTGAAAAAAGATCAATGGAGTGAATATACTTAAAAACTAAGGTTAAGCATGTTAAAAGGTACTAAATCCCAAGCATACAGTATTCCACTGCATTTAACATTTTAGCCTTAAAAAGGCTTTGAACATATGAGAAGTTAGCTATCTAGGAATTTGAAATAATATTACCAAGAAATATTATTGGAAATGATTAATATCCACATGCATTTTAGTCTGTGTAGTCAGATCTCTGACCAACAATAAAAAAGAAAGAAAAATAATAGTACATTTTTTATTGAAATATCTCACGTTTTATGCATATAAGTGTCAAATACTAATATTTGTGCTTAGATTTGACTTTTGAATTGAGGCATTTTTTCTTCATCCTCAAGTTTATAAATAATTCTTTAATATGCTACTATCTAACTATATATGCTATATAAGGCATTTTTTTCTATTTAATAATATTGTAATAGTATTGAAATAAATGTAAATAATTGTTTGTTTTGATATGGTGTCTATGCTTGTTGGGTGGACACAAAGGTTAACAGACATAAAACCAATCAGGTTGGTAATAGAGCATCAAAGGCAGGATCTAGTTGCAAGCCATTTTTTTTAAATAAAAGGAAAAACAAACCATGTTAAACAACACCACATTAGACATACAAGAACCAACTCTGTGTCAAACCATGGACATAAATACTAAAGGACAAAAATGACTACATAATCAAGACAAATGTGAACCCAATTATTAGTGATCAATTAATTCTTCCTCATAATTATAACATTAACCAGATATTTTTTAACAAAATTAGTAACAAAAACAAACTGGAAAAGGGAACAAAGGTGAAAAAATAAAAATAAAATAAGTAATATAAGTACGTACAAACAAAATGACAAAAAAACAAACATGACAGCAATACATAATGAAAAAATATTAATGCACATTAACATAAAATTCAACAGTGTCACAATAAATACTCTGTAACACACTTGTCAGGGAAGTAAAACAATTACCAATTACCCTAATCAGCATTCAATAGTGCAACATTATGTAGTTGCTGTTGTTGCAAATATATATAAAATGAAAATAAATTAATAAATAAATTAATAAATGAAAATAAATAATTAAATAATGAATATAAATAAATGAAAATAAACAAATAATTAAAAAAACATAAAATAAATTAAAATAAGTAAATAAATAAAAATAAATTAATATTGGAAAAAAATAAGGTAAACAAATATTTCATATAATTACATATTAATTGATATTTTATACTACAAATAAATCTCAATCTGAAAGGTTGATACCCGAGCTGTAATCCACCTTTTAAAAAAACAAAGACAGGATAGAAAGTTGTTTATGGGAGAGCTCTCTGAGAGTTAAACTACTTGAAAACAGGTCATTCCCACACGGTATGAAAAAAGTGAGAATTGTATGAAAAACTTCAAAAGCTTACTAACAATGCTAACTACAAAAAAAAAAAAAACTATGTGGAGGATAGCTTGAACATTTTTGCTCATACAGTATACCAAATAAATTCCTATATATATATATATATATATATATATACACACACACACACATATATATACACATATATATATATATATATATATACACACAAGTAATAAAAAAAAAAAACTGAAAAAAATACTCAAGACCATTACCTTTCAGGCCCAAATTGGAAGAGCTTTCTCAGGTGAAAAGCATCAAAGCAGACTCATGCCAAACCAGATTAGTTACACGTGCCAACCCAAGAGCCCCTTTGCAAACTGCTGCCAAGCATTTGTTAGTAATATACCAGATTTAGCAGCTGAACCTGATGTTAAATGCACCTTCATTTTATAAGGAACTATATGTATTCAAATGACTGAAATGCAAACAAGGATTTTTGACCCTCTATGGATGTATCAAGTGTACAGTATTCAAAATATACTGTGAACAAAGCAAAAATAAATAATCAAAGGATATAGGTCAAGACATTCCAATATCTATCCATCTATGCAAATGCAACAGTCCACCATACTCACACACAAAAACAACATCATTACTGTTTTTCTGCACCGCTGACTTTTGTTTCTCAGATTCCGATTGCTTTAAAGATTACTTTAAGTTATTTTGGTATCAAGTTAATTTAATTTGTTAATCAGTAATATTTATTATTTCCTATAAAAGCCGCATAAACAAGACTAAGTTTTACTGAAAAGACAACAAATCAATTAATCTTCATACACCTCTAAAATTGCTCTAAATGAAGCAGAACTGCAACACACAGTACCGACATTGTGTCCCTGATTCCTTTTTTTTGTGTTTGAATTAATCCTTAAAGTTTGTGAGAAATTAAAATTGACTTTGTTTATTTTGCACATTGTTATTCTTTAGGTGAATAATTAATCTGTGAAAGTAATCCACTGAAAAAATTGTGTGTTTTGGTAATCTTCATTCAAAGTAGGCATGGGTCGGTATAATAACCTTGTATAAAAAATATCACGGTTTTACTGCTCTAAAATATATTCTGTTTAATTGTCTGGGTAAAAAAAAAAAAAAAAAAAAAAAAAAACTTTGTTCCTTTTTTAACACAATATATTTAATTTTATGAAAAATTGAAGATATTTTGAAACAGTAAACATGTCAGGCCAAATAATTCAAATATATCATTGACTTCTGCTGTCTTTGTTTGTTTTAAAAAGACTGATTTCTTTTTTTTTCTAATTTAAAACAGCATATTTAGATATCGTTTCTGTTAGAGATACTGTTGTCCTAAAAACCCTTTAAAAAATAATAATAATACATAAACAACATCTTAGAATGGTATAGCAGAAGATGTAGGCGGTTTTTAAACCTTGACTTTTCTAAACCACTGTATACCTTAAAATCGATTATTGTCCCATGCCTAGTTTAAAGTCTGACAGTTTGCTGCCTATTCAATATTCCATTTCAGTTGGAAGCACATCAACATCCTGAAATAAGGTTCAGCTACTTCCAGTTCACATGAACTTGAAATTTATACCAAATGTATTTATTTATTTTTATTTAAGAATAGTAGTTTTATTCTTAATCAGACCTGCTTTTCAGTGAATCGGTGAGTAATTTATTAACGACTTATTCAACTATTCAACTGCTTCTGAGTCAATTTCAAAGGTTTTCTTAAATGTAATCCCTCAATTAATCTTCATTGCTGAACAAATGTAATGAATGCATGATTATGACTGTCACTTGCTGCCACCTACTGGGCTAACAATGTTAACATGCAGAATGTTAAGCTGAAAACAACAACAGAATAGCATGCACTAATTTACAATATTCAAATTATAGGCAAAAAGAACCTGGATGAACTACTACTGTCAAGATTTAGTCAGCATACAATAGACATTTTCCCATCACATGTGGCCATAAAATAGGATTAATAGGTTAACAACATAGTGGAGTCATTTCATATTTTAACCTTAGAGTGAAAGTTTATTATTTGCATGCGTTTTAAAGACCTGACTAAGAATTGAGCAAACTTAAATTTTAAGGTACAATAAATAAACGTTTGTAGCTTAAAAAGTTAATTTTACATTAGTACTCAATTAAAACGATAGTGTTATTGTTATTATTTATTTCCTTCTATTGAATAGTGTTTGACTGCCCAGAAAATCATACCCTTTTTTTTTTTTTGCATTAACAAAGCTTGTCATTTTAAAATTATATTTTATGCAGATACGCTCCCCCACAGAATCATCCCAGTCATTACGAGCTATTCAAGTCATCTGTTGAAATTGCATTTATCACAATATCTATCGCAGTGAATGAAAATATTGCAGTGTCAGTTTTTTTTTTTTCCCAATATCGTGCAGCCCTAATAAAACATACCAACAAGTGACTATAGTCTGTGTTGGGCTATTTATAAAATTCAGGCACAACATATATGACTGTTTCAGAAAATATTAGAATAGATGGTCTAATTAGTCCAACTAACCAAACACTAGGCTAAATTTGTTTGACTACTGTAAGATATCAAGCCAAAAACACAATAGACTACATAAAACAATACAAAACAAAAGTACTAACAAGGCAGAGATGTCAAGGCTGGACATGACGGCGACCACCTGTCAATCAAGTTGATTATGCAGAATTTTAAGGCTTAATACAATTTAACCGGATGAAAAATTAAACTATTCAGGCGCCCACAGTTGTTAAGAAAGGGAAAAGTGAGCTATTTTTACCATGTTGTAAAAATTTACTGCAAATTGGGGATTTTGACATGAGGAGACCATGGGATTGGCTTAGAGTCAACATCTAGCGGCCAGAAGAGGCATTGTCTCTTCCCTTTTCAATAACATCAAGAGCGAGACTGGGAGGGTGCAACCTGCTTTCCACAGATCAATATCATCCATAAGCTATCCTAATGGTCATTTAATTCCAGTGGAGATGATGCAGGATAATCAAAATGGAATTTTAAAAAAGGCAGAATAATTAGTTGCATCGATGTCGAGCGTCTGGTGAGGTAGCTAGCCTATGAGAGTCCCTTAAGTTATCAACCAAACTTTGAAACTTTCTTCTACGAGTATAGAAAATTAGTTCGTTTTACTCACCCTCATGGTTTTGTCCGTGTTATCAATGTGTTCTTGCAATCTGCTGGCCGTAGAGACCAAAGCAGTTTGACCAGAGAAAGACCCAGATGCGACTTCTAAACAAGCAAAAAGACACTGTACCCCTCCCTTTCTAAGTGCACTATACTTCCTTTCTCTTTTTCTGTAACTTCTTTCTAGTCTTATATTTCACTCAACAATCACTGCTACCCGATCTCCCCTAATGCAGTTTAACACTCGCTGCCTTTCTCACAGGCTTCTGCAAATTTGTTTAGAGTTTCCCTGCCCCCGACCAAAACCCTCACCTATGTAATTGTACACCTCCGCCCATCTCACCTAGATAGGTTGCTCCTCCTCGTTGGATTCACTTCCTCGTTGGGTCGAGGCCAAAACTTGTGTACAGCTGAGAAGAATTAGAGGATAATCTGACTTCTGGGAAAGCGTGCACTACTTTCAAAGCCGTTTTTGATTAGGAAATGCTTCTCAATTTCCTGTGTCGTTTTATATACAGGTTTTGGTGGCGATGACTGTTAGTTTATCATCATAATTAATGTGCGTTTAAAGCGATTTTAACGAGGACAGCTCATTAAACAAGCTATTCATGTAAATGTGGAATCTACCGTTTCATGTTGCTGTATCGGTTTGCACGTGAGAATACGTAACCGAGAATACTGTGACCTCTTTCTCATTTAAAAATACAAAATACAAAAAAATTTAAAATAAAAAAAATAAAAAAAAATTTTAAAAATACAATTTTAAGTCTCTCTCTCTCTCTCTCTCTCTCTCTCTCTCTCTCTCTCTCTCTCTCTCTCTCTATATATATATATATATATATATATATTATTTATTTTTTTTTTTCAGAAAGTTAGCAGTTTATTTTCTGACTAGTCATTTGGATGAATTCCAAATATATTATATTAAATATATTAAATATAATTTAAATATAATTTATCTGGCAACTGTTAATGTATCTTAATTAAGCACTACTGAAATAATTTAACTATTTTAGTTATTAATGTGAAACTATTATCAATATTATTTTTTATACAAAATATAGCTGTCGCACAGTATCAGTGTCATTTCCACCACAACACTGTAATGTCAATTTTAAAAGTTTGTTTGAAAGATTATTTTGGTGGTTTCTATAAAAATGAACAATGCCATCTGAAAACATGTTCAAGATGGAGGAAATTAATTTTTTTTATCAACAACACTTGAAGAAAAACCAATGTAAATTTTGCTTGATAAGGAAATACATTTATTTTTTGTGTTGTACCTTCAAAAATGCTTTTAAAAACCAAACAAAATTAAGATATAAGATTAAAGAATAAAAGATTAAACAAGAGTGTTTTGTATCAATTCAAAGCTAATCAGTAAAGCTATTTTTCATTTTTTCACAATAAACTATTGAAATGTCATTTCCACCACTGTCATTTCCATCACCACACACATTTTTAACTAATATTTTAAAAGTTCTCATCACACAATAAAAGTGTATTCACAATGTATAAGTTCTTGCTCTATTTAATATACAAATTCAGTTTATTTATTTTCTAATAAACTCATAAACAAATTAATATTACATTTTAGACTGTGGCATGTGTACAATTCAGCATACAACTACTTTATTACATTGACAAATTGACATTTGTTCAGTTCACAATAGAAAAAAAAAGTTTCTCTTCTTATCTAAGTTTGTCCTCTTACAGATCTTAAAATTAGACAAATTCTTTAAACTTATGAGAATATGTTACATTAATTTTGAACAAGTTTTTTTTTTTACTCAGCTTCACAAGGCTAAAAGTGCCGTTAGTTGAAGAATGGTCCATTTGTAAAAGCTCTTTCCAGTGTTTTGGTAATCTTCAAATCTTGACAACTTGCGTTCTACTCAATTTTCCTTTCAGTTGGAAGCACATCAACATCCTGAAATAAAAGTCAGCAACTTACAGGTCTGGTGTGCCCCTAACAGTATCTCTGGCCGAGCCCAAACTGGGCCCTTAGAATCGTAAATTGATCCACTTTGATTTGCTTCAGCTATATTTGATGTAATGAACTTGTCTAGGTGACTGAAACTATTTTCACATTCAGTTTTACTAAATTCAGGTGAATTTCAGAGGAATTATCTTTTTTTTTCAGAGGAAAAAACTTTGATTAAATTAGATTCACTCCATATTTTCACATTCAGTTTCACTCATTTTAAAAATAATTTTGATTGAAAAGCCATATTCGCAATCGATCCAGTTTAATTTGCCTCAGATGCATATGATTTACTCAATTCTTCTAATAAAATTAAGTTCATGACAAAAAACATTTTCACATTTAATTTCACTAATTTCAATTAATTTTGTTTAGACCAGGTCGCTTCATTCATGAGGTTAAAAAAAAAAATCTAAACATCACTATCAACAATAAAAGAAATGACTTTTGTTGCTTATTCAAACTACTTATTTAAAATTAGGTGAAACAACACAATTCTTTAGTTTTTGGGGGGGACCACTTAATTGTTTTATTTTTAATCCAGTTAAATTTGTACAAAAATGTTATATCAATTGTTTTGTGTTGGGACAACATGAAGGAAATGTGAGGAAACAAGCATGTTTTATAGTAAAAGTCTTTGAATGTAAAACCATAATCAAATTGATTTCACTTCAGCTTTCTTCAGTTACATTTACACTTCAAATATATTTACTTCACTTTACATCAGAAACCATATGTAGATATGAACCAGTTTGATTTAAGTTCAGTTTGGTTTACTTCTGAAGTTAATAAAATATGCTACCCATGAGAGTGCAATAAATTTATGTATATAAAATCATATTCACAATCGACTAAATTTAGTTCAGTTAATTTATTATGATTCACTTCATTCTCCGTAATACTTCATTTATCACTGCTGACAACTGACAGACTATGCTTTCCTGTTTGGACTGCCTAAACTAGTACTTAGAATTATATACCACAACAATTCTGAGTAATAAGACTAGGGTTACAATTACATTTACGTTTTACCTCCTAATACCACAAAAACCGCACATCACATCCTGAATCTAACTTGTATAGAAACCCATCTCACCTAAGCTCAGTAGTCAAATCAGTAAACTTTGCTACAGATGAGATAAACGATCAATAAAACAATTATGTAACCAAATCAACGATCACTTGACCCTGTTTATCGGTTTTTGTTTCTATCTTTAGAGAGAGAAACACTTGAATGACAGTACAGGTTTTCCTGCAACAGAGCTGAGTGGGAAACTGATCGCGTTTCTATTGAGGGTCAGGTGAAAGTGACCTCTCCATTCTTAGTATGACCATACGATACTAGTGCATTTCAGTCTTGCTTCAGTAAGCTGTGTGTAATGAATTCCAGTGACAAGGCTTCTGTTTATCACATGCAGCACTGCGTCTCCGTATCTCCTTTTTAACTCGCTCGACCTGTTGTAGATGCTGTCATCATTACAAAGCAAGTTGTTCTGCCTGTTGCCACTGTGATGTAGAGATACTGAAGAGCCATGTGATTCAGTGACTCACTTTGTTTTTGTATTTCAAACTGCTTTAAAACGAAGCAGGAATGCAGTAAACAAACCAATGAGAACACAAATAAGAATGTCACTTAGTTGCTTGGATACAAAATGTAACCCTGGACCACAAAAGTCATAAGCAGGGCCGGATAGAATCTGCAGTCCTTTGTTTGCAACTAAAAAAAAAAAAAAATGTATGATTTATATATAGATTTATGAATGATTTTGAGCACTGTAAAAATGCTCAATTCTACACAATTCCTTTATGTTGTCCCTACACAAATTGATTAAGTTAACTTGATTGTTTTTTTTTTACTAATTTAAGTGAACTGAACTTAAGTTAAATTAAGTTATCAAAAAAAAAAAAAATCAACAATTGTGTTGATTCAGAGTGTACGCTGAAAACCTAACACATAAAAATAAAGTAACTTATTTACAGATGTACATAAATTAAATGTTTACTTAGAATTTAATTTTATAATAAAACATTAATTAGAACCAGTTGCTACTCTCTCATATAATACATCCACTCAAAGATAGAAATTGTTACTTGACAATAACCTATCTAAACATTAGCATATCATTCATTAATAATACTGAAATTAATATAAAAACTACATAGATATATATTTTCACACATTTACATACTGTACGTGAATAAATAGATTAAATGATGGGCTCAAAAATATTCCACGTGGGCCTACTAATAAGTGTCTTTTTAAATTGAGATTTAAATATTTCCTGACTACAAAGATTACCTTTGTAGACGTTTCAAAAATATACTTTCATGACTGGTTTTGTGGTCCAGCATCACATATTAAATCATTGTCTCGCATCCTGATATCTGATATTCCTGTATACACCAATTGTGTAACATTACGAGAAGAGTGCATAATACTGATGGGGAAGGAAGTAAATATGTGTATGATGTCTTACAGTTAAATGGGTTATGAATCAGTTCTTATTTTTAAAGAAGTTGACACACTGGCACAGATAATTTTGCATATTTTGAAATAACCTTTTGTAAATATTGTAAAGAAAAAGCCGGTTAAAAAGGTTTGAAATAGTTAATTGCTTAAGAAAATACAGGAGTTTATACATCTGAAATGAATTTGGAAAAGGCTTTTTCAATTTTGCCGGATTTTAAAGTGGTAATTCACCCAAAACTTCACATTTCCTCATCGTTTACACACACCTATGAGGTTATAAATATTCATGTTTTTATGAATGTTGGAAAAAAGCATCCATAGTAAGAACAACAAATACAATGGCATTTTTTCAGCATTTCTCAGTATTCATGTTCGACAAAAGAAAGAAACTCAGCTTGCAACAAGTGGAGTGAGAGAAAATGATGGCAGAATTTTCCTTTTTTGTATGAACTACTTAATGTATTCCTTAATGTTCATTTTAGTCATAAGTCTCAAACTTGATTTCTGGAGGGAAATATAACTCTGCATAGTTTTGCTCCGACCCTAATCTAGCACAGCTGAGCCAACTAATTAAGGTGTTCAAGATGACTAGACACTATTAAGCAGGTGTGAGTTGGAAGTGGTTGAAGCTAAACTATGCAGAACTGTGGCCATCCAGGAACTGAGTTTGAGAACACTGATTTTATTAAAATATATACATTATAAACATAATTTTGACGTTACATAACACTAACTAACATCTAGTGAAAAAAAGAGTTAGGTGTTAAGTGACTGATTTCCACTATATAGAACTATTCATTGAAGTCTAGCTCTGGTGGTATTGTGTGTGTATTTGTTGTGATGACACATGCCACTGTATCAAAACGAACCATTT